TATATATATGACCTTTAAGAGGACAATATGGATCAATGTTTTCACTTTGCATCAATGATATTAGATCATTGATTATTGAATCGATATATCGATTCAGATCGATGGATCGTTACACACCTAATACATACATACAAGGAATATAAGGAATCAAGGTAGTAGTGGTGCAAAAATTATATATCTCTTGTGGTGGCAGAGATAAATAATTTTGGTAAAATTCCTCCTGAATATTTCCGTAGTTTTGACACTTTATTATAAAGTGTCGTTCTGTTTCTGCAGCTCCTTCGTCACAGTGACAGCACAGCCTGACCTCTCTGTGCAGTCAGGTCTGCCTCTCTCTGTGGTCACTCAGTCCGTACATCAGTGTCAACGTTTTTGTCAGGTTCTTATCGGTTACTGTGGTTTGGCAGTCTGCCACAGGATACTGTCTGTTCAAATTTGTCCCTAGTGTGTGTTGTGAGTGTGAAATATGATACCAATGAGTGGTGTATTTTTATTTTTATTTATATTTAGTTAAGATTTGATTCGGTCTAATCAGGAGGAAACAGCATTTTAAAGTTAAAGCTCTGTGCCAGAAATTCACCAAACAAGTGTGTTTTTGATGAGTCACTTGCAGTCAAAATGGACTCGCGACCCACTTTTGGACCGCTACCCACCAGTTGGGAACCTCTGTCCCAGAGCAAATGAACTGAACTGAAAATGTAATGCTGTGTTTGACTGAAGTCTGTGAAGCTGTTCTGACCCACTGTCTTCTTCACAGCATCAGGCCGCTGAGAAGAGAAGCCACACAGTCGCTAAGACGAAGAGCAGAGGCCTGCCAGCAGACAGGTAGGTCATGCATAGATAATCACAAGTTTATGACGGTGTTATGGCGACTTAGCAGCTATCAATGCTAAAAGAAAATGTTTCATTGCTTTGAAAGATGAGAATGATTTGATCAAGTCTGTGATCTGTACAGACATGGGAAAGGGTGTCCTGTCACTGATGTTAAAATTACTATTGCACGTCTGTCCGTCCTGGAAGAGAGATCCCTCCTCAGTTGCTCCTCCTGAAGTTTCTATCATTTTTTTTCCCTGTCAAAGGGTTTATTGGGGAGATTTTCCTTATCCACTGTGAGGGTCCAAAGGACAGAGGATCGAGGCTGTGCTGCAGGGCTCTGTCAAAGGCCTGTCAGTCTGACTCTGCTCATCACATATCATATTTGTATTATTTTAAACATGTTTGCGATTCCGATTAAGACGTGGAGTATGCCCGTATTAGTCGGGTTTTAGGAGCACTCTTTGGACATGTATACAATGCTTTCGGAATATGTGTCTCAACTGTGTTTTTACCGCAGTTTCACGGCCTCTTGACTGTTAACTGTCGGCTCTGTGCGATGCCGTGGATACGTTGTGCACAGGCCATATCGCCAACAGTTTGCAAGGCTGGAGTAGAAATGCATGCCCAAAAGAAAAGCCCACATTTCTAGTCTGACGGAGAAACACACCTACTTTTAAACATTACGAAAGACTTGGACATCAGCAGGTTTTTGGACTCTCACAAATATCGAAACACCAACGTTTTCAGAAAAGTGGCTGGAGGGATAAAAGAGGGAGGAAACTGTTCCACATGTTTGGGCGCGTTAATCGGTGTATGCACGACTGCATGTAAACAGGAATATAAATGAAATTAAAAAAAAAAAAAAATTAAAAAAAAAAAAAAACGGAAAATCTTGTGCGTGTAAATGTACTTACTGTTGTTTCTCTTTTGACTTCACCGTGTCCCCTTACTGTCTCATCTCCATCTCCTTTCAGGGATAAGGGCAAGGTGAAGGGTGCCGCCTTTGTAGCCAACGGCAGGTTGGTACCAGCTCTGTCACCTCAGAGGAAAGGTGAGTGTCTGGATGGCTGTTGTAATTCTTGTAATGTAAGTTAACATGTCATTAAGTGTCAATCCTCCTGGTGTAGTCTCTAGTGTCTGTCCAAACGACTCATCTGCATAATGTTTAAAAAAATATTCAGGTGATTCTGCGTCTGAAAGCCCTGCATTAAACATTACAACCCTGAAGACTGAGCCTTCAGATTGGTTTCATCCTCCTCTCAGAATAACCTTTAATGTGAAGTTCACCCTGTGCTATTATTTGCACACAATGCCAAGCTGATGGCTCGTGTGGAAAGTGTTCCTGTACGCTGCTCGTTTGGATCGCATATCAGTACGGAGAGTAGGTGCTGCAGCAGAGGCTGTGACAGCGTAAGGAAACCATACCTTAACGGCTGTGGTGATTGTCGTTTCCATGGATACAGTGAACAAGCCAGGCTGCACAGATGCTGTGAAAATTAAAGTATCTACATTTTTAAACTCATTCTAGGTATTTGTACAAAATGGTCTAAAAATCTACAGAGATGTCTGGAAATTTGAGTCTGGAAAAGTACGGAAAATGTGCAGGAATGCTCCTGTTTATGTCCCCCAAAGCATTATGGGAAGTGTAGTTCCAAAACATGGTTATGGTAGAGATGATTATCTACCAAATAAAAGTAAGACAAAGAATAATAATATTAATAGATTGATTGGCATTATCCAAATTTCGTCTGGCAGGGGGATATTTGATTATGGGTCCTCAAAAAGTTGTGTGATTTTTTTAAATTTTGTTTATGAAAATGTGGGAACTCTGTACAGAAGGCTTTTGAAATGAAGTTCCTTATCTGCAGAAGTGGTTTTACTTATCTAACCAAGCAGCTCGTACACAGACACACTCATAGACCAAGTATGAAACAGTACTATCACAAAGCCACAGGCTGTTAGAGATTTTTTTGGTTGGATATATCAAATAATATCCTCTCGATCGCGCTGAGTTAAGCCATGCCACGCCAGTTTGTGCTTCCATTGTCAGTTTAGACGTGCTAAGCTACACCGGACATGGACATTCTCCAGAGTAGGTCCAAAAGCCAGGCTACCCATCTTCAAGCGGGTAGTGGTGACGTCTTGCTGACCACACCAAAACCCCATGTTCACTATCAGCCACATTAGATGTTGTGTGAAGTTGCTGCTCAAAAACTCAACATTTCCTTGTCTTGCTGCTTCACAGTAAAAGTTTTTACGTAACAAATAAGGGGGACTTTTATTGTGAAGAATCTACAGGAAATCAAATGTGTTACTACTGTATTAGTGGAACTTTGTTAGCAGCGTCTCTTCAATAAAGGCAAGTCTAATAATACGGCAGGGAGGAAAGGAAAAGCAGAGTGAGTTGTTCATGAAGAGCTGCAGACAACAGGCTCTTACTGCACCTCTGCAAACAGCTCACCTCCAACAGGTAAACTTCTTTCACCTGCCCTGCTGTGGAAAAACACATGCAGTCAGTTAAAGTAACACCGTCAAGAAGGTAGCCCGGCTGTAATGGAAATACAAATCCCTGCTGTGCTAGGCTGACAGCCCAAATCAAGCCAAACCAAGCCAGGTCAACCCACGTCTGTCAAAAAGGGACATAAGTGGCTTTATATATTGATCATTAAACAAAGCACTGCTGTTCAGGCTGTTACTGCTTGAAGTGATGTCAGACCCTGTTCCAGATAGCTCCGCACTGCTTTACACCATAAGTCAATATAAATAATCATATAATAGGCTCATACTTTCAGATGAATGCTCTGTCACCTGGTGTTTGGTTGGTCGCTTGTCTGCGGTTTAACACACAGATGTTGTTGCAGATGGAGGTTCTGGTCCAGATACGTTTGGTGAAACATCATCAGAAAGCTACAGCTCTCCATCCAGCCCTCAGCACCGAGGACCAGAGAGCCTGGACAGTGAGGACGACAACAACAAAGGTAAAGGCAAAATATATAATTTAAACATTAATGTCATAAACATGCGGGCGACTAGTAGACTAATGGCCCTAAATGATGACTCCTGGTGGGGCAGCCCTACTTCTATTATTGTCTTCAGTTAAAAGGATGTTTGTGTAACATCCACTTACCTGCTCTTGTTTCTCTGTTAGATACCGACAGCCACTCTGATGACTCGAGCAAAGGTCTGGGCCCTGGCATGTTCTTTGCCCATCAGACTGATCCAACTGCAGCAGGAGCCATTCCCTCTGTTCACCCCCTGTCTTCCAGCAACCACCAGGCCCAAATGGAGCCGCTCTGCCCAGAGACCAGCACAGATTTCCCCCCTCTCTCCTTCATGCGCTCTCTGCCCTATGTGCTCCCGAACGGGACTGCTGACTCTCCACTTCCACTGGTCCCTCATCCCGGCCAAAGCATCGTCCCCGATGGGAAGCCCTCGCCTGGGACCCTGATGATGCAGATGCCCCTAGTGCCTCCAGGACCTGGAATTGTGGGAGACCCGGAGAAGAGGGACATACTTCCAACCTTTGGGATAGCACCTATTGGCCTCCACCCTTCAGGAAGTCCTGCTGTGCAGCCTCTGGTTCAGAGGTTCAAAACACCAATGTCTCACAGCCAAGGTGGCACTGACGGAGCTTCAGGGAGTGGTTCTGCTCCTGCTGCCCCGCAGGCTTCACACCAAGCTGTGAGAGCCATCAGTATCATGTCTCCTGGCCCCACATCCTACTCCTCTCCTCTTCAGCAGTCTCTGCCCTGCCAAGATCCAGCCAGCGTCACCTCGGGCCTGGCCTCCTCTCTGCCACATGTGGAGACTTCACACGCCAAGCACCCCGGCTTAACCTTACCATCTGGCCTGCCTTCTCCCTACACCCTGCCCCCGGTCCCCACCTCTGTCATGCCTACTGTAGGAGCACCTGCAGCCAGTGGAATAGCTCCATCTCCTGGACATGTACAAGCAGCTGTTCCTCCAGCTGTGCCCACCCACACCCCTGGACCCGCTCCCAGCCCCAGCCCAGCACTTACTCACAGCACCGCACACAGCGACTGTACATCCTACAGCAACAGCAGCGCTTCCTGTGGAAGTGCTCCTGTTGCCCCGGGCAACCTTGTTAATCCTCAGCAAACCCAGCCGCAACAGTTGCCCCCCCAGCAGCCAACACCACCACAACAGCCACCACCGCCGCCGCCACCGCAGCAGCAGCAGATGGGCTGTGGGACCTGTGGCTGTCACAACAACTGCGGTGGCCGAGGCAGCGTCAGTAACAACAACAGCGTCAGTGTCCCCGGCTGCCAGGCACCTTTATTCTTCTCCCACCAGATGGCAGCAGCAGCAGCGCGACAGGTGTTCAGCGTCCAACCGCCTCTCTTCCAGCTCACAAGCCTGTGCAGTAACAGTTACCTCACCCAGGCTCAGCCTCCTCACCAGGCCAACGGCGCTGCCACCCTGCCCCCCTTCTTCCCCAGCGCTCCACCTCCCGCGCACCCGTCCCCCTACGGCCCCCTCCACACTCACTCTCACAGTCACGCAGACGTGCCATCACATATGCTGGGCACCCAGGCGGCAGCGGTGGCGGCCGCCGCAGCTGCAAACTACAACCTCCAGCAGCAGATGGCGCCGGCGGCATCGTTCTGCCACCGTGTCTACCAGCATGTATACCCAAATCACCTGGGGATGCTGCCTGCTGCTGCACTGGGGGGAGGTGGAGTCAATAAGAAGAGTGGCAATGTGTCCTGTTATAACTGTGGTGTGAGTGGCCACTACGCTCAGGACTGCAACCAACCCACCATAGACTCCACACAGCAAGGTAGTGCAGCTACACGGAACAGGGACAAACAGAGGACCCCTTAGTTTTCCTCCCCCAGAACCCCCAAACAGTCTTTGGCATCAGATGCCACTTTCCACTGCACGGCACGTTCCTCTGTGCTCGCTGTGTTTGGTTTTACATTGGCAAAAGTTATGGATAGTACCTGGTACTTTCTTTTTGGTACCACCTCGGTTTAGATTACAAGAGAGCTGAGCTGATACTAGAAGGAGGAGTTAAAACACTGTACACCACTGATCTCTAGTGATGGCCAAATGAAGCCTCATGAAGCATTTACTTTATTTAATGAGCCCACTAGATGCCGCTTTTTGTTCAACAAAAGGTTGAAAGCACACTGAATTGCCATTCTTTGAGCCTCTCTCTTTAAACCATGAGCGCCATCTAGTGGGCTCAGAAAATAAAGAAAATGCTTCATGAGGCTTCATTTGGCCATCACTACTGATCACTAATGCGACATGGGACTTCCTGTACAGCCATGCAAAACAACACGCTGAACAATTGAAGTTGAATTGAAGTAAAAGGATTCACTAAGTGTCTCTTTGAGGACGATGTCATGGCAGTTTCACACGGCAGCACTGTCACAATCAGCTCAGAACCCCTCCCACACTGAGGGGGTACGGTCTGGTACCAAAAGTGGGTTGAGCTGAACTTTACATTGGAAATTACATTTTATAGTTTCAGCTCTGGTGGGTCACCTCAGTCCAGGTTCTAAGTGAGCTGAGGCGATACTAGAAGGTGGAGTTTAAACACTGCAGACCACTGATTGGTCAGCGAGAACCGTCAAAAGCTCAGCGCAGGACTTCCTGCGTCCTTCCATTTTAAAAAAAGCCAAGCTACCGTCTGCGATGTTTAAATTCTCTTGACCAAGATTTTAACAAATGGCAGCCTGCAAAACTTCACTATACACTAAATACACAGTACAATCAAATAAGAGCAGACGTTCTGTTTGGTTGCTGATGAAAGAATCCAGTGTCACGTTAAGGATGTCGTAGCAGTTTGACGCTGTGTCACCGTGGCGATCAGCTGAGAATCCCGCCTACACTCAGGGGTTACTCTCTGGAAAACAAAATAGAGAAAAGGAGCTGGTACCAAAAGTGAGTCAGGTCAAGTCGAGCCGTGCAGTGGAAATGAGAAATCACTGTTTATCATTTCGCACCCTTTGGGACAGTCTCGTCCACTCTGTGTGGGGCGGTGTCGGATGATTCCCTCAGAAAAGTTTAGGGAAGCAGCTGTGTGCGGCACTTAGGGGATCTTCCTCCTTTAAATCTGTTTTTTTAAAACACACACATATGAAAACACTTATGATAAATCTCACTTAGTGTTCTGAGTGCAGTGTCTCCTTTGCCTTATTTTGGTGTGCCAAGCTGTAATGTGTGTGTTACTGCCCCCTGTGGCTGACGGCTGTAAGACACCCACTGCAAATGTTTTTTGGGACATTTTTTTCTGCCTCCGCCACAAGTCAGTCCCTCCAGGATTCCACTTTTCTTTTATTTTTTTTCGTGGCCTAAAATGCCAAATTTCATTTTGGCTTTTTTTTTTTTAATTGCAATGTTTTTAGTCTATTTATTATTTTTATTATTTTTGCAATGAAATAGCAGAAGCATGTGGAAATTACACAAATAGTTGGGGTGTTTTCGCCACTAACCCTTCACATATTTATATATTTTGAAACTCACCTTGATTCTTTCAGCACGTGCAATAGATCTGGATACAACAGCCTCAATCATGCTGATTTCTCTCATCTGTCGAGTGTGTTTTGCAGCAGTTAAGTGTTTGTCAATTGATGTCGTTTGTGTTTCACCACAAAGCACCCGGTGTAAATCTGTTTACCTCTGCTCTTGTGCAGAACTTTAAGGAATTGCCTTGTATGGTCCTCAGCAGTAATCTTTGTTGGCAAATGTGTAACGTTCATGTGGCAGGAGTCATCTTCACAACCACATAACGAGGAAGTGAGTTTGGTGACGTTATTAGGGGAACGGCTAGGATTGGTGAAACTCAAGTTGCACAGCATTCACAGGGATTGGTTGAATTTGTGTTAATCATTGCGACTGTGACATCACAACATCCTGGAGGGGCTGATAAGTGGCGGCAGTGCCTGGACTAGTGACACCAAGACGGACCACCTGCACAGCTGCTTCTCTAAGCTTCTCTATGGGAAGCACGTGTCCCACATGGTGGCTGACACAGTCCCAGTGTTACTACTTAACTTTGCACATGCAGGTCGAAACTGTCGCTGAAATGAAGTAAAGGCAAACCACTGGAAGCCAGGACGGTACGAAACACTCGGCACACAGTTTAAGGTGGTTCAAATGAGCTGAATTACGACCGTAAAAATGTAAAGTGTTCATGAACAAGGCCCTCGCCGACCTTTAGTAATGTTCAGACTGTTCTTTTGTTCAACTGTGACTGATTGTATATCCTCTGTGTGTTTGGATGCATCTCCGTATGTGTGCATGTGTGTGTTGGTGTCCACATTGCAGGTGGCTTCCGGTTAAAGTATGCAGCCTCCCACATTTCAGAAGCACTTGACAATGCCGACTGAAGAAGAAGAGAGGATGAAGAGGAGTTCCTCCGGTCTTGTTTCCACAGCGACGGTCATCTGTTCTTCCAGGCGCTGTGTGCGAGCAGTGCACTTCAGGAAAAAAGAAAAAAAAAAAAATCTCAAAAAGAAAGTGACCTGCCAAGGGCTCAGTGGACAAAGCCTAAGTACTTGTGCCTGAGAAAATCTTGTTCCCATGGAGATGATTCACTGTCTCGTGCACACCGACGGTCCACGTGACTCCCGCTCCCTTCCCTTTTAGTTTGTCTTTGATATTTTTGCACTGAGGGGTTGGAAACGATTAACTTATTACTTAATTATTAGAAAGAGATTTTGAGGATTTTGTTTTTACATGACGGTGGAGACTTGTCTCAGCTGAAAAAAAAAAAAAGTTCTTATACACTTCTTTCTAAAACAGCGTATTTATGCTTTTTTCCTCATTATTACTGTTCACCTAGGATTTTACTGTCGGACAGAGTTGTACAGCAGTTTTCAACGTTTAAATCAGAAATCAAAAAAGTAATGTTAGCAAAATGAGTTTTATGTTTTTCATTTTCAGTTTTGCTGTAAGGTTTTTGAATGTACACCTTCTCATTTAAGGAATGTGACTGTATCAAAGTGTATGGATCTCATGCATTTTTACCACTTGATATATGTTGTGGTTGGAAGGTAATTGCTGCTTTGTAATGTTATTATTTTCATTTTTAAGATAGTTTTACTTGGTGAAATGCACTAAAGCGACGCAGGAACACAAGTGCACTAAAACAGTTTGCACCACAGCCGAGCAGGTGTGAGAATTTATTCATTTTGTACTCTACAAATTAAGACAGCAAAACTAATTGGCTGATACAGCGTTCACTGTTGTAGTGTGCTTTAGTATTTCAGGTGTGAAGCAGCTTTTTCTGTTAACACCACAGAGAGGGAGAGATCTCTGTGTTTTAAAACTACAGATAGAAATACAGCAGAAGAGAAACTCATTCTTGTCTCATCTCAGTCAGTGAGACATCCACTACCTGTACAGTTTGGTGTCGCTGGGTGCTGTCTCCAGGAGCCTCTAGAGAGGATTTAGACAGTTTAGTACCAGAATGTCAGCTGTTGCTTTCGTCAGTGTTTAGCGCACAACTCTGCAGAGCGTGGAGCAAGCGTCAAACTAGTGTGGATTCATTTATGAAGGATAGACAAACAGAAGCAGACAGCACACCTCGAGCTATACCAACTGAGTCATCAAGACATTTCCATAGAGAAACACTACTCTCCTACCCTGTTGGTATATTAAAGGAACGCTTCAGCCGCAAAATTAAAATCTGTACATTCATAACTTACTGCGTTTTATGTTGAATTCATGAAGAAAAGATTGTTTTTTTCACATGCCTCCACTGTGAACGGAGAATCCAAAAAAATGAGAACATTCTTTATGAACTGAAGTCAATGGGGTCCATGTTTATCAACAGCAAAACTATTTTAAACATTGTTCACAAACTCTCACAAGACTTGTGCAGTATAATCTTAAGTCTTGTTTATCCTGTCGTGTGCTCAGTGCTACCCAAACACATGTATTTTAACTAAAACGTTAGCCACTCAAGTGTTTTATATTGGAATGTTTTAACGTTTAGGAAGTACTGAGCATACAACAGGATAAATGAGATTTGGATTATACTTCACGAGTTGTGTAAGTGTAAACCACTATTTGAGATAGGTTAGCTATTGTTGAACGTCGTCCACAAAGGATGTTAGCCACCTTTTTTTTTTTTTTTTGTTTGTTTGTTTGATTTTTTTTTTTTTTTTGATTTTTTTTTTGGGATTCTTGTATGCTCAGTACTTCCCAGACACAGGTATTTTAGCTAAAACGTTACCTGCTTTAAGCTCGTTAATGCTCAGCGTGCGCTACTTGTAGGGGGAAGTGTTTTATATTGGAACGTTTTAGCCAAAATGTATGTGTTTAGGAAGTACCGAGCACACGACAGGATAAATGAGATTTGGATTCTACTACACAAGTTATGTAAACTGATGTTTCCATAGAACGTCGTCCCCATTTGCATCAGTTCAAGAAGAATGTTAGCCTTTTTGGATTCTCCGTTCACCACGGAAGCCTGAGAGAAAAACGTTTTCTTCATGATATTCAACGTGAAACAAAGTTTGTAATGAATATACAGATGGTCATTTTATGGTTCAAGTATTCTTTAACTACAAAGTAAAGTGTGTTTTATATTTGTATGTTTGATCACATCTTTAAGAGCCTGTGTAAGAGCCCACGCTAAAAGACAGCCGTGGGCAGTAACTGACTGTTTCTGTACTTGTTAATTTAATGAATAAATCTAGTATGGATTTTCTTTAGTTTTGTTTTGTCACCAGACTGTTGATAACTGACCTTAGATGTCTGACAAACCTGATGTCATGTGACTACGTCTTCTGAACTGAGATCCCTCTATGTGGATAAAAACACTTGAACACTTACAAAACAGCAATTGACAGAACCATCTATACTGTAATGCCTACATATGATTTGAAGCTTTGAGCTCATCAGTGCTTTATAGAGGTTTTAAAAGGTATTTTGGGAAACATTTGAAATGATGGAAGGAGGCGGTGTTTGAGAATGTGGAGTCCCGATGTGTACAGTGTTAAGGAATAAATGAAACTGTTGGTAAAATAATTTGAAACAATCGAAGCTCAGCTCATTATTATGAAATGTTATTTTATTATTGTCTGTTTTAAAGTTCAGTTTTGTTTCATAATATGTCAACATTGATTTGATGTTGTTGCTCTAGCTAACACGTGCTAACTGGCTAAATCTGGGAGGAGTTGATGAGCTGGCAGTCTTAAAGAATACTTCACCTGCAAAATGATGCGTGAAATTTGTGAAGAAAACAATTTTCCCTCACATACCTCCACGGTCAACCAAATAAGGTAAACCACCTTCAAAGTTCTCAAGAATTCAAGGTAACGGTGGGTGAGTAGTTTTTTTACTGTTGTGAAACGTGACACCCCATGACTTGAATTCATGAAGAATGTTTGTCTTTTTGGATTCTTCAGTCACCATAGAGGCAAGCGAGCAAAACAAACTTCTCCCTAAGAATTCAAGGTAACGGGAAGAGTAGTTTTTTTACTGTCACGAAATGTGACGCCCCGTGACTTGAATTCATGAAGAATGTTTGCCTTTCTCGTTTGCCTCCACGGTGAACGAAGAATCCAAAAAAGACAAACATTAATCATGAATTCAAGTCATGGGGTGTCGCGCTTCACGACATTAAAAAAAAAAACTACTTACGCTGTTACCTCGAATTCTTGAGAAGAACTTTGTCTTTTTTTGGATTCTTTGTCCATTGTGGAGGCAAGCGAGAAAAACAAAGTTCTCCTCAAGAATTGAAGGTAACGGGAAGAGTAGTTTTTTTACTGTCGTGAAGCGTGACGCCCCGTGACTTGAATTCATAAAGAATGTTTGCTTTTCTCGCTTGCCTCCTGGTGAATGAAGAATCCAAAAAAGACAAACATTCTTCATGAATTCAAGTCATGGGGCGTCACGCTTCATGACATTAAAAAAAAAAAAAAACTACTCACGCAGTTGCCTTGAATTCTTGAGGAGAAAAACAAAGTTCTCCTCAAGAATTCAAGGCAACGGCGTGAGTATTTTTATTTATTTTTTTTATGTTGTGAAGCGTGACGCCCCATGACTTGAATTCATGAAGAATGATTGCTTTTCTCGCTTGCCTCCTGGTGAATGAAGAATCCAAAAAAGACAAACATTCTTCATAAATTCAAGTCATGGGGCGTCACGCTTCACAACATTAAAAAAAAAACTACTCACGCCGTTGCCTTGAATTCTTGAGAACTTTGTCTTTGTCTTTTTCTTCGTCCATTGTGGAGGCAAGTGAGAAAAACAAAGTTCTCAAAACTTCAAGGTAACGGTGGGTGAGTATTTTTAGTGTCGTGAAATGTGACGCCCCATGACCTGAATTTATGAAGAATGTTTGTCTTTCTTGGATTTTTCGGTCACCATGGAGGCAAGCGAGAAAAACAAACTTCTCCCTAAGAATTCAAGGTAACAGGAAGGGTAGGTTTTTTTATTTTTGTGAAACGTGACGCCCCATGACTTGAATTCTTGAAGAATGTATGTTTTTCTAGGTTGCCTTCACGGTGAACGAAGAATCCAAAAAGGACAAACATTCTTCATGATTTCAAGTCATGGGGTGTCACGTTTCACAACAATAAAAAAAACTACTCACCCATGTTACCTTGAATTCTTGAGGGGAACTTTGTCTTTTTTGGATTCTTTGTCCATTGTGGAGGCAGCCGAGAAAAACGAAGTTCTCCTCAGGAATGAAAGGTAACGGAGTGAGTAATTGATGTACAAATGGTCTTTTTGGGGGTGGAGTATTCTTAGGACGTGATGCGCTGAGAGGGTGAGAGGTTGGTTCCAACACCACGGTCATGAAAAGTGATAAAAGTGTCACTGGGAAACATGCCATTAAATGATAGAAATGTCCATACTGAAACAAAATTTCATAATAATGAGATGGTTTATATATTTTACACACTATTGTCATGTTTACTTCATAATATATTATAATTTTTTTTTTTTTCTAGCTGTTGAACACTTTAGGGTTCCATATTAGAAAGTGTGTATACGGAGCTACAGTTCTCATACTTCAAAATAAATACGAGGTAACAAGATAACATTGAACATCTCCTGGCCTTGTGGTAGTTGTGTGTGTGTGTGTGTGTGTGTGTGTAAAGTCTCTCTCAGACGACAGAAATATGTTCAGATTTCCCGGCAGCCCAGAGGCCAATACTTCTCAGTGATGCTCTCACTTATTTATTCTAGTTTCTCCTAATTAATGTGGTTATTTCACACTTTGCTCAGCAGCGTTGTGTCCAGCTGTGTTCGTAATCAGGTGTGAGTGTGTGTGTGACTGTGCTCCTCAGTTGTTTTCAGAGCTGTGTGGATGCTCTGCTTGTTTTTGTCAGCTCAGCCTCCTGTCAGCGCATCAGTTCGATTAATATCTATGCATACGCACTTGTTTTCCGGAGTTCTTACAGTGACATTTAGGAGAAGCCGGCGGTGGAGACGATGAGATGTTTCATGTAAACCTGTAAAAGGATTCACACCCTCAAACACACTGCTATTAGATCGGACTGTCTCCAGTTTCACTTTGAACATTATTTATGTTTCTTTCGTTCGACACTTGAAGTGGATCAGAGGATCTCAGAGTTCTGGATCATGTGATCACAAGCAGTGAGCAGAAGTGGACCAGTCAGATCAGGAGGGAAGCCCAGTGTATAGAACTGAAGATTCACCAAACAACCCAAGTGTAGTTTTGTTGACCTTGATGGTTTGATAAATGCTGTACTGTACATTTGCAAGTGGTCACTCTGCTGCCACCCTCAGTTGTAATGTTTACTGTACTCTTTGATATCTATGTATTGGAAAGGTCAAATATATTTCTAGAGCGGAATTTGGATTTTATGCAACTTGTTGATCTGTTGTTTTTCCTGTAATTAAAAGCAATAAATATAAAAATGGAAAGCAAATTTGGCCTGGCAAATGTTATTTATATACAGAAAATAGTAGATCAACACTTAGAGACGTTGACTGTAGACATTTGGGAATCTGAGGACAGTCAGCAGTTACAGTTTTTGTCAGTTGGACACAACACTGCCACTTCCATCACAAACTGAAAGACTTCATGAACTGAATATTTAACAGCACAACACATGATGTTTATCTCAAGAGAAAGATCATTTGTGAAAAGATAAAAACAAGTTTATCTCTCTAGGACTAAACTAATTCAAAGATCTGTCATTTTGAAATAAAAAAAGTCATACTATAGCATGTTGTCCAAAACCACGAAAAAAAGTCAGTATATAGCATGTCGTCCCAAACCATGAAAAAAAGTCATAGTATAGTATGTCGTCCAAAACCATGAAAAAAAGTCATAGTATAGTATGTCGTCCAAAACCATGAAAAAAAGTCATAGTATAGTATGTCGTTCAAAACCATGGGAAAAAGTCATAGTATAGTATGTCGTTCAAAACCATGGGAAAAAGTCATAGTATAGTATGTCGTCCAAAACCATGAAAAAAAGTCATAGTATAGTATGTCGTTCAAAACCATGGGAAAAAGTCATAGTATAGCATGTCGTCCAAAACCACGAAAAAAGTCATTGTATAGTATGTTGTTCAAAAACCATGAAGAAAGTCATAGTATAGCATGTCGTTCAAACACCATGAAAAAAAGTCATAGTATAGCATGTCGTTCAAAATATGATAAAAATGTCATAGTATAGCATGTAGTTCAAAAAATGTTAAAAAGTCATAGTATAGTATGTCGTTCAAACAGCATGAAAAAAAGTCATAGTATAGCATGTCGTTCAAAATATGATAAAAGTGTCATAGTATAGCATGTAGTTCGAAAAATGTTAAAAAGTCATAGTATAGCATGTCATTCAAAATATGATAAAAACGTCATAGTATAGCATTTCGTTCAAAATATGACAAAAAAATCATAGTATAGTATATCGTTCAAAATATGATAAAAAGTCATAGTATAGCATGTCGTTCAAAAACCATGAAAAAAGTCATAGTATAGTATGTCGTCCAAAACCATGAAAAAAGTCATAGTATAGCATGTCGTTCAAAAACCATGAAAAAAAGTCATAGTATAGCATGTCGTTCAAAAACCATGAAAAAAAGTCATAGTATAGCATGTCGTTCAAAATATGATAAAAACACCAGTACAGCATGTCGTTCAAAATATGATAAAAAAATCATAGTATAGTATGTCGTTCAAAATATGATAAAAAGTCATAGTATAGCATTTCGTTCAAAATATGACAAAAAAATCATAGTATAGTATGTCGTTCAAAATATGACAAAAAAAGTCATAGTATAGCATGTCGTTCAAAATACGATAAAAATGTCATAGCATAGCATGTCGTTCAAAATATGATAAAAACGTCATAGTATAGCATGTCGTTCAAAATATGATAAAAAGTCATGTAGCATGTCATTCAAAATATGATTAAAAAGTCAAAGTATAGCATGTCGTTCAAAATATGATAAAAAGTCATAGTATAGCATTTCGTTCAAAATATGACAAAAAAATCATAGTATAGTATGTCGTTCAAAATATGACAAAAAAAGTCATAGTATAGCATGTCGTTCAAAATACGATAAAAATGTCATAGCATAGCATGTCGTTCAAAATATGATAAAAACGTCATAGTATAGCATGTCGTTCAAAATATGATAAAAAGTCATGTAGCATGTCATTCAAAATATGATTAAAAAGTCAAAGTATAGCATGTCGTTCAAAATATGATAAAAAGTCATAGTATAGCATTTCGTTCAAAATATGACAAAAAAATCATAGTATAGTATGTCGTTCAAAATATGACAAAAAAAGTCATAGTATAGCATGTCGTTCAAAATACGATAAAAATGTCATAGCATAGCATGTCGTTCAAAATATGATAAAAACGTCATAGTATAGCATGTCATTCAAAATATGATTAAAAAGTCAAAGTATAGCATGTCGTTCAAAATATGATAAAAAGTCATAGTATAGCATGTTTTTCAAAATCTGATAAAAATGTCATAGTATAGTATGTCTTTAAAAATATGATAAAAATGTCACAGTATATGTCATATATAAAAATATGAAAAGCAATAAGTGAGTTTGGCTTTGTAAACTTTATTTAAATACAGAAAATAGTAGATAAACACATAGAAACGTTGACTACAGACATTTGGGAATATGAGTACAGTCAGCAGTTACAGTTTTTGTCAGTTGGACACAACACTGCCACTCATTTGTGAAAACATAAAAAGTAGGTTAAAGTTTTTAAGACAACGTATTGCTAGATCTGTCCTTTTGCAAAAAGACAAGACTATATACAGACTTTATTATGAAATTAACTGAAATGTGATAAATGAGTAGTAACAGACACTTTGTGTGTTGATGTGCTTTTAACTCCTGTTGTTTTGCAGGGACTCTATGAGACTCTTGTTGTACTCTGCCACTTGTTGGGAGACATTCTTGGCGACTGAGGCGTAATCACTCTCCTGAGATTTAGAGGCGATGACTGATGCTGCAGTTAAGGAAAGAGGACTGGGACAAATAACAGATCTCACACAACAGTTTGCTTTAGAAGTCCAAGGAAACGTGAAATACTGCTTTGTGGTCGCCATCAAAATGTCATAAAAATGTCAAAGTATAGTATGTCATTAAAATTACGAAAAAATGTCATAGTATAGCTTGTCTTTCAAATTATCACTAAAATGTCATAGTATAGCATGCCATTAAAATATGGTAAAAATGTCAGTATGATATGTTGTTAGAAATATAAAGTAGATATAGTAAAGTTTGTTTTTAAAAATATTACTAAAATGTCTTGGTATAGCATGTCATTCAAAATACAATAAATATGTCATGGTATAGTTTGTCATTAAAAATATGATAAAAATGTCTGCTGTTATAAATGTCATAAAAATGTATACGTCGTTAAAAATATCATAAAAGTGTGTCATTCGACATGTCATTAAAAATGGCATGTCGATAAAAATGCCATAGAAATGTCTTAGTAGAGTGTGGCATTAGAAATGTTATATAAATTTTATAGTGTAGTATGTAATAAAAAATGTCATGAAAATGTCATAGTATAGCATGTTTTCAAAATATGATAAAAATGTCATAGTACAGCATGTCGTTTAAAATATGCAAAAAAGTCATAGTATAGCATGTCGTTCAAAATATGATAAAAATATCATGGTATAGCATGTCATTCAAAATGATAAAAATGTCATAGTACAGCATATCGTTCAAAAAATGATAAAAATGTCATAGTATAGCATATCGTTCAAAAAATGATAAAAACGTCATAGTATAGCATGTCGTTCTAAAAATCATAAAAATGTCATTGTATAGCATGTCGTTAAAAATATGGTAAAAATGTTGTGGTGTGATATGTCGTTAGAAATATAAAGATATAGTAGATATAGTAAAGTTTGTTTTAAAATTATTAATAAAATGTCTTGGTTTAACATGTCATTCTAAATATGATAAAAATGTCTGTTGTTAAAAATGTCATAAAAATGTGTACGTCGTTAAAAATGTCATAAAAGTGTGTATGTCATTAAAAATAGCATGTTGTTCAAAATATGATAAAAATGTCACAATATGGCATGTCGATAAAAATGTCATAGAAATGTCGTAATAGAGTGTGGCATTAAAAATGTTATAAAAATTTTATAGTGTAGTATGTAATAAAAAATGTCATGAAAATGTCGTTCAAAATATGATAAAAATGTCATAGTATAGCATGTTGTTCAAAATTTGATAAAAATGCCACAGTATAGTATGTCGTTCAAAATATGACAAAAATGTCATAGTATAGCATGTCGTTCAAAATATGATACAAATGTCACAGTATAGTATGTCGTTCAAAATATGATAAAAATGTCATAGTATAGCATGTCGTTCAAAATATGACAAAAATGGCATAGTATAGCATGTCGTTCAAAATATGATACAAATGTCACAGTATAGTATGTCGTTCAAAATATGATAAAAATGTCACAGTATAGCATGCCGTTCAAAATATGATAAAAATGTCACGGTATAGTATGTTGTTCAAAATATGATAAAAATGTCATAGTATAGCATGTCGTTCAAAATATGATAAAAATGTCATAGTATAGCATGTCGTTCAAAATATGATAAAAATGTCATAGTATTGTTCAAAATACACAAAAAAGTCATAGTTAAGTATGTCGTTCAAAATATGATAAAAATTGTCATATTGTTCAAAATACACAAAAAAGTCATAGTTAAGTATGTCGTTCAAAATATGATAAAAATGTCATAGGATTGTTCAAAATACACAAAAAAGTCATAGTATAGTATGTCGTTCAAAATACGCAAAAAAAGTCATAGCATATCGCATGTTGTTCAAAATACGCAAAAAAAAGTTACAGTATAGCATGTCGTTCAAAATATGATGAAAATGTCCATATCGATAAAAATGTTATGAAAATGTCATAGAATAGCAAGTCACTAAAAATATTTTAAAAATGTCATGTTGTTTAAGATGTCATTACAATGTTACTGTATAGCATGTCGATAAAAATATAGTCATATCGTTAATAATGTCATAAAAATGTCATAGTGTAGCATGTTATGAAAATGGTGTAAAAATGTTATAGTATATTTTGGTAAAAATGTAAAAAAGTCATACAAATTTCATCTTTATAAAAATGTCAGTATAGCATGTCAAAAAATTTCATAAAAAGGTCAAAGTATAGTACATTATAAAAAGTTTTATAAAAAGTGTTATTATATTGTATGTTATAAAAACTGACACAAAGATAAATAAATAAATAAATAAAAACAATAAAAAATTTGGGGGGAAAAAATCCATAATAGCATTTTTGAGATACCGAGTGCACAAGAATGAGAAAGACAAGGTCACAGTGATCTTGACCTTGACCCACGACCACAAAATTCTCTGAAGTTTATTGCATAGTGAATCCAAGCAGACATTTGTGCCAAATTTGAGAAAACAAGGCATTCTTGAGATGTTTTATTCACAAGAATGAGAGGGTGGTACCTATGTACATATGCACATACATACGTACGGCACAAACACATAATGCCTCTGACCACGACTACACCTGATGAAGAGGCATATAAATCAAGTAATAGAGACAAAGACAGATTCAAAAGGATACACTCTTTCATTACAAAGTTGTTCTGCTCCAAGTGTTGCCATTTTCTCTCCAGGTTTGCCAGCTGAAACACACACACACACACACATACACACAAGCACAATGAACACAAGACTAGCGTGAGCAGAATAAGACACGTTTGTAACAACATAAAAGATATAATATTTAACTTTTTCTGCATCAAAATGCCTAAAAATGACTCGACCAATGTTTTGCAGAGTGCATGAAGAGAACCAGAAATCATTCAAAGTTTCTCAAATACATTGGGAGTTTTAATGAAAGCAGAAATGTTTATGAAGTCTTGACAGAATTACATCTGAACTACGGAAAAATGTTTACTGTTATCAGTAGGTGGTATTTTGATGCAGACATCACAAGTATCAACTGGTAAAATAAGGTGTTTCTACATTCATTATAACTAATGATAAAATCTTATATTTGTTTATATAAATGTGTATGGCTACAGTATATTCGTGCCGATGTACTGATGTTTTTCTAAGAGAAGTGTGAAACCCTCTAACCTGAGCGTGAGTCTCATTTTCTTGTAGTTTCGTTTTCAGAGCTTCATATTTCTGGTTCATTTCCTCCAACAGCTGCCTGAATGAATCCTGAAGCAAGGTCAGCGATATGCGGTCCTCCTGAAGTCTCTGCACCACAACAACATACATCTGGTTAGCCTACAGTTTAGCTTAAGACAAATACAAACACACAGGTTGTGTTGAATAATTCAACAGTATTTAAAGCTCCACAGTGAGCTGATGGGCTGATGTCTGTAACTACAAATAAATATGTATGGTTCAACTTAAACCATGGTCTGATGGTGCCTGTAGGTGGCCCTCTGTGTTTGGAGTTACAGACATTTAACAGTAGTGTTCACATTTTACCAGACCTCTGTCAGAGATTTAAGTAAATAACCAGATACATTAAGTCCATTCTATACTGAAGTACACTGCTGAGGTTCTTGTACTTTGATAACAAAAAGTACATGTAGCTGTGACGTCCCACTTTCTCAGTTCACCTTTTTCTTTTCCTCCGCTGTGTGCCTCAGCGTGTCCAGGTCTCGGTAGGTGACCAGCTCAGACTCCATGGTGCTGATTCGCTCCTTCAGGGTGCTGAGCTCAATTGAGATCTTCCCCTCCAGCTGCTGCACCTTCTCCAGGTCCTGCTGCAGACGCTGGGACTCTGGGTAGTAGATAGTTTGGGGACAGTTTGATGGGTTTATCAAAGAGGGTACACCTTACTGGTGCTGTGAGTGTGTGTGAGTTTCTACTCGTACATGCCACAAACATATTTTAGCAACAGAGTGAGGACATTTTTGCAAAGTGAGGACATTTTGGCTGTCAATGAGGGTCCCAACAAAGATAGAAATACAAGAATGTGTGTGTGTTACTGACCAGTTGTCAGTCCTCTGGCAGTGCTCTCTGATTGGACCACCTCCGTTTCCTTGCTGACCAGCACCTCCTGCATGTTCCTCAGCTCACTGGCTGTCACTGTGTCCACCTGCCGTAGCCGCAACATGTTCTACACACACACACACACATATATACACACACGACTTAGCCTTCTCTTCCACATGTTCTTTTCCTGCCAGTTTTGTCTATTCTTTGTCTCTAACTCGACCTTTTTTACTATCATTTCCCCTCCTTTCCTTCCCCCTCACCCTGCTGCAGTGTTCCAGGAGGGAGACGATGTTTTCTTGGCTCTGTGTCATCTTGCTCTGCTCCTGACCTCTGGACTCCTCAAATGACTCCAGGTACCCTGGAACACAGCAACAAATGAAGGACGTTGTCACTACAAGCTGCATGTAAATTACATTTAAACCAATATCTTGTCATGCAGAGACACTGGAGCTCGTATGTGCAGGATTTATAAATATTCTGTCTCTGGCGACTCCTGGTGGTAGCTTCCAGAAGGCCACTGCAAAGTGTTTGTTTCCATGTATTTATCGGTCTCAGTCCACATATTTTTATATTAGTGAAACCATTTTAAAAACCATGCCTAACCCTACAGTAACTAGATATCATTTCTTATCATAATCTCCTTTTGTTTTGCTATTATATCTTTAATACTTGACTGTTTCTCAGAGACTTATCTACCCCTGGGTTATGCTCAATATTTGAAAACATCAAAAGTCATACCCACAATTGCGACACATTAATGAGATCAGATCTGAGTAAATAATACTGTGATCTTTTTTTTTTAAATAATCATTGTCAAGCTCAGTTTTTGTTGTCTCAATTGTCAGATGTTCAACTCACGGTCAATTTCCTCCTCTTTCCTCTTCAGCTCCTTGTATTTCTGCTGACACTCCCCTAATGGACAGAATAAAAACTCTGTTAGTTTTGCAAGCAGTCCACACTCAAACTGATGTCACTGTCATATACTTTGTTTGTAGGAGTTTGATAATAAGTCCAAGTAGAGACACAGTGTAATTTAATCATTTAGTATTCAGACAGAAAATAAATAGAAAACAGTTTTGATAATCTCGCAATACTTTTCAGAGGTTCACATCACGTCTGTGATTTTAAAGTCATTTTAAAACACGGTCGTATTTTAAATTAATGTGTGGCACTTTGCACTGTGTCTTGTAAGCATTGCACATTGTCCTACAAAACATGACCACAACTCACACACTACATAAAAATTAACAAATAACATTTATTGAAAAAATATTTTTCAGGCATATTTCAGAGATAGGATGCTGAATAATGGCCAGTAAAGTGTTTAATGCAGAACATTATGATGTTGCAGTGAAGTTGACCTTTGACCATTTGGATATAAAATGTCATCACTTCATCATTTTACCTTTTAGACATCTGTGTGAATTTTTGTCATAATTTGTGTAAGAACTCTTGATCTATGGCTGAAAAAATGTTTTGTTAGGTAAGCACCAAATTGTTCTCAGTGGACGTCTGTGTCAAATTTTAAGAAATTCCCTTAAAGGGATAGTTCACCCAAAAATGAAAATTCAGCCATTATCTACTCACCCATATGCCGAGGGAGGATCAGGTGAAGTTTCAGAGTCCTCACAACACGGCACCCCAGATTCAAACGTCCAAAAACACATAATTGAAACCAAAAAATATCTCCATACTGCTCGTCTGTAGTGATCCAAGTGTCCTGAAGCCCAGACATGAAAAGTCTCACGCGCAAGCGCACACACGTGAGCGCAGCCCACAGAGAGAAAGTCAGAGCTACAGGCTACAATGAGACTAAAAACAGAGTTCAAATGACATTTTTCCAAACAACTTTTTATGTCGGGGCTTCAGGACACTTGGTGTGCAGTTGGGCTGCTACACACTCCCCCCCACAAATCTCCGCAAGTGTTATGAGGTCTCTAAAACTTCACCAGAGCCTCCCTCAGCATGAGGGTGAGTAGATAATGGCTGAATTTTCATTTTTGGACTATTCCTTTAAGGGGTTCTTGAAATATTGCTCACAAGAATAAGACAGATACAAGAACACACTGATCTTGATCTTTGACCACCAAAATGTCATCAGTTTATCATTGAGTCCAAGTAAACCTTTGTGCCAAATTTGAAGAAATTCCTTCAAGGTGTTCGTGAGATATCACACTCACAAGACAAATGCAAAGTCACACTGACCTTGACCTCTGACCACCAAAATCTAATCAGTTTGTCAAATGAAATGGTCATTAACAGGGAGATGATGGCTGATCACAATTAACTTAATAAACTTTATAAATGTGCCTTTGATTGACATTTAATAGAAAGCTGTGTACACTGCGAAAATAATAACATAATCTTTGACGTCAGCAAACAACCTAAAAGCAATTTCACTTATATTCTGTAGCTGTGTCTCAGTTCAGTGGCTGCAGCCTTCAGAGGCTGCATTGAAGACCGACTGTGTCACATCGGTGCGACCAAGGCTGTCCCATTTCGAAGGCTCCTTCAAATGCGGCGGAGAAATGCAGCCGTCTTTCCCAGATTTTGGAGGATGCAACGGATGATTCCTTTGTGGCCCAGGCTGTCCCGTGATGCATTGCGCAGGTGACGATTATATATTAAGTTAACTAACGGTTGTTGACATTACTATGAGCTAAAAGCACACAGCTTAAACAATTTTAATTTAAAAAGTTTACCTGAACACGGTTCATCAGTCTGAAATATATCAAACGGCAGTGTCTCCACATGAATAATCTCTTCAGGTATTAAATTAAAAAAATACATATACTGTATGTATATGATAAAAATCTCTGGGTCCATGATTTAGGGTGAACTAACTTACTAGCTTACTCCTTCTTTGGTCAAGCGCAGCTGGTTGCTAGGTAACAAGAATGCTAACAGGTCGGGGTGAGAACAACTGGTGATGCAACCAGGAAATCCTCCCTAGACCAGACCTTCCAATTTCGGAGACCGTTCGGTTCGGCTGATGTGGTCTTCAAAGGACTGCGAAGGCCACATCCTTCAAAGGCTGCAAACCCTGAACTGAGACTGAGACTGAAACTTATCTCTTCCTCATCATATCACCCGCAGCTATCTCAGCTGAAACCAAGTGTACGCCTGGTCTGAGGAATGTGTAACGTGCGAAAATTTTTGCTGCAAATTCTTTATAAGTACCAGTTTATGTGTGGGGGAAAAAGCATACACATGGTTTCTGTGCGTTTGCATCGTTTCTACATCTGGTCCCTGGTTTTTAAAATTTCCACTACGATGAATGATGTGAAACTTGCAGTGCGTTTTTCCGAAGTATATCTCAGGTAGAAAGAACGGTGATAGAGGAATGAGAAATTGAAAGCAGACATCCAGTGTTACCCTGTGCTTCCTCTGAGTCCTGCTCCAGCTGCTGGATATCCTCTGTGATTTGTCCCATCCTGTCCCGGATCTCTGTAAGCCTCAACACACACACACGCAAAACTGGTTTCAAATGTATAGTCTTTGTGGTCGAAGGTCATAGGTTGAGTGAGGCAAAACATAAACATGCATATAAAAGCACTTTAATGAGGCAGATCAGGCTTCATGAAAATCACACTGCATTTGTACTCTACTGCCAATTTTTGTACCTCTCACTTTCAAATGGATCTGTTTATGAGAGCCAATGATTTGAACCTTAAAAATGTTTTTATAACTTCTGGCAGAAGATGCTGCAAAGCTGACTCTCTTGCTTGATTTGATTTGGCTTCATTTGAGTAATTTATAAAATAAGAAGTGAGATTTAAAGTTGTGTGTCACAGTGCCCACCATCTGTCAGTGTTTCAAGCTTTTTTAACTAAAGTGAGAAATAAAGCTAAATAAATTTAAAAAAAGAAATTGAGACCATTAATGCAGACAGACTTTTGGCATGTTGTATTTAAAACGAATACATACTGTCTCTCCATGCTGGCGATTTCCTGATTGTCCTCCTTCACCTGGAAAACAAAACAGCAGCTTTAATTGTTTTTTAACTAACTAAAACTCTTAAATCTGTCAAATGAAGCAGCACTTACTGAACACATTCAATCTGAGGTGACCAATCAATCTGAGACTGTTTAATTCACTTGATTTTATTGTAATTATGTTGACTTTAATCATTGTTTAGTGTCAAATATGTCAAGCCACGCAGCTTTTAAACAAATCAAAGTCAAATTAACATTAAATCAAGATTTTTTAGTTGGCTTGTATCAGTCTAATAAAACATTGTTGCTGCATATCATCTGTACTTTTATGTTCTCGACTGATATTCAGCTGTTGTGTGAAGCTAACCTGTTTGAATAGCTGCTCTCTCTCCTCCTGTGGGGAGCTGAGGCTCTTGTGCTCAGCCTCCATGGCGTCACGCTTCGCCTCCAGCGCCGACAGAGTCTCATGAAGACGAACCACTTCCTGCTTTATGTGCGAGTGAGCTAGCTCCTGCACACAGGGCAATATAAGATTAAACACTTCATACTACTACTGCTGCCAATACTAAAGTTACTACTACAGCGAGTGTGTTACTGTTGCTGCTACAGAAGCTCCCTTTACACTACACAGCGGTGTGATGTAACTGTAACTCCTTTCCTCTTTTCCACATTTCATCTCCTCCCTTCCCAGGGTTGCATGTCTTCGAAAATCTTATACACATTAATGTACGTCGCCAAAAAAGGCCTCAGGGATTAAAGTGTCTTAAATTTCTTTGACAAGAGGTCTTGGGTATTTTCTCCAGCCTGCTGTAGGTATTAACATTAGTTAGAAAATGTCTTTCCCATGTATTTCTAGCTCAACCTGACTTGAAATCTCTTATGTTCCACACCTCTGCCCTTGTGTGAAATTCATGTGGACCTTAAATCATTTTTTTTATCCATCACCCAGGTCGAGGTTCTGTTAATTGTTAATTAATGTTAGCATTAGGGGTGACAGTTACTTACATTTACACAGTGCGCTTGGTTTTAATTGATATCTTTCATACTTTGACTGGAATGACTGTGGAGCAGGTATTAAATTACACTCTATGCACTGTTTAACATGTCTCTGTGAACCCTGCAGATACCCTCCCCCTTCTGTCATACATTAACCCTTCCTTGATCATCCCCTGTCTTTTCAATCCAACTCACAGCCTCATAGTCCTCCTTCCTGGTTATCAGAATGTCCAGCTCCTCCTGCAGAACAGTCAGCTCCTACAAAACAAAAAAACAAGAAGGCAAAGAGAAGATGAAGAAAGAAGATGGACATAAAGTACATTTATTTTATGTGGTGACAAAGACGGCAACAGTGTCAGGGTGGTACGCATGCTGTGTTTTTTGCGCCCTCAAATTCACTGATTGTAATGTAGACATGCGGCAGCAGCGCTCAAATGCCAAAGCAGTGTGCACAAACCCAACTTTTGGAACACAGCAGTGCGCACCGCCTGTCATATGAAGAGGAACAACCAATCACAGTCGGCAGATATCCTTCCCTTCTTTCGTAAATATCAGTCTGTGATAAATCTTCAAAAAGATCTAAAATTAGAAATAAAGATATAAAGAATGTGGTGACAGAGGCCACTATGTTTTTAATAGTTGTTGTTTTATTGTGGATTTTTGTATCATATGTTGTAATTCTTGCATTTTAAATGTGTTTTGATTGGCTGCTACCTCGACCAGGTCTCTCTTGTAAAAGAGATTTTCAATCTCAATGGGACTTCCTGGTTAGATAAAGGTTAAATAAGTAAATAAAATAAAAACAATACAGAGAAGAAGTAAGCACTTTGGTGCAGGGCTGACAGGGTGTAACATCTGTCCCACAGACACTAGACCTACACACAAACAGTGCCTGGAAGAAGATCAGCTCTGCACTCAGGATTTCAGGTAACAGGCTGTGATACGGTGCTTGTAAAGACACAACCTGCCGCCGTGCTCTTGAAAGCTGGCACAGAAAAGACAGGCAGGTGGCACCCAGCACCTGACCTCGAGGCAGTTAAAGATGCAGCATGTGGACAGCCTCTTAAACTACAGTAGCAGTGATATGAACTAGTTATAACTAGACCAACTAAAGAGCAGTACCATGCCAAGGCTCAAACTACACTGATACCTGTAGCAGTTCCTCATTGGCTGTCGTCATGCCGAAATACTTCTCCTGCTTTGCGGCCGGCATCGCCTGGACCACCTCCTCAGCGACCCGCCTTTCCCTCCTGATGTCTTCTTCTATTGCCCTGATGGCCTCCTCTCTTCTGCACGGCAAACACAACAGGGAAAGGTTTTTTGTTAATTTAATTTTTTACTTTGCCTTCATCAGTCGTTAGCATCGAGACAGAGACCTGTGACAAAGGTCCTCGGCCACATTCAAACCCCGGGCTGATAAGACAGACAGATGAGTAGATAAAGAAAGGATGCAGAGAAGGAACAGTGATAGAGATGTAAGACGGAGTGGGGATATCACTGCTTCCCCGCTGCCTTTCCTTCTCCCTTACCTCCTTGCCTGTCCCAGTTCCTTTCCATAAACCCTGCTTGCTTCTTTCTTCTCTACTTTTGTCAAATTACACTCCTACCTTCTGTTCAACTTGCCTTTCGTTTTTTTTCTTCTAACATAATTCAAACCCCCTTTGTCTGTTTTCCCTCCCAACTCTCATCTATTACAATATTCCTTCTCCAGCTTATCTCATTAGAAAAACAACTTCTCATTTATTTCAATTTCTAAATGAGCAGCACGTCCAACATGGTTAAAATGTACTTCCAACCAGAAGAAAGAAAGAAGGACTGCCTTCATCAATCATAAATGTTTAGCTAGCAGAAGAAGTACATGTCAGCCCTCAGGTTTTACGACAAGAAACAAAGGTCGTTTGCTGTGCTGGCTGCATCGCGGTGACAAGTGAACTTAACTTCCTCTAAGTGCCTCTAGAAGTACAGGTAAGTGTTTTTGGTTGTTATTCAGTGAGACGGAGCAGTAACAGAATTAGAGCTTGAAATAATCTTGTTTGTCCACCTGCCACTGTGGCTGGTCGATTACAAAATCTTCCAGTCACTTAATAGATTGTCGTTGTTTATTGTCTGATGAGTAAAGTGAATCTAGCAGGTGCTTTCATATTTTACCAACCTTATTTTCCAACCCTGAAAAACCAGAAAAACAACAGTAGAGACACTGACAGATGTTGTACTATATGCAGATTAAAGGCTGCTTAGCGGACACATAGTACAGGTGTGCGTGTCTTCACTTAAGTTCAGTTTCAGGAAGTTCAACGTGTTTGTTTTCTCCTAAGGACATCAGGAAAATAAGAGACTTCAGTGTATGTGTCGGCATGATTGATGAGTATGTGACGTCCTTTAAAAAGAGAACTCACTGACCCAGATTTTATACTGCACTCTGATCATGTTTCATGTGTCAGCAGATCTGTCGGTCTATTATACGTGCATGCATGAGTGGTAATGAAAACTTGATGTCCTGGTCATAGTTCAATTAAGGTGTTGACATGACAGGTTTCATATTCAGGTTAGTGTCCAGGATATTATGTTGTTTACACTTTAATAGATTAAGAAAACTGAAGGGAATTAAAAGGTATATATTTAAAGAGCACTAACGGCTGTGGCTCAGAGGTAGAGCACTAATTGGTAGTGATGGCCAAATGAGGCCTCATGAAGCATTTGTTTTTTTGTTTCTTTATTTTCTGAGCCCACTAGATGGCGCTTTTTGTTCAACAAAAGGTTGAAAGCACACTGAATTGGCATTCTTTGAGCCTCTCTCTTTAAACCATGAGCACCATCTAGTGGGCTCAGAAAATAAAGAAAATGCTTCATGAGGCTTCATTTGGCCATCACTACTAAGAGGTTTCAGGAGCAATTTAAACAGTAAGCAGTTATGTCATGTTAAGTACTGCCTTAGAAGTTTTTTCCCAGCCCTGACCAGAATACAGCTCTCTGGAATAACAATAGGTACTTTCTATGGTCATATTTAAAGATATTAAACATTTAACTGCATTTTAGATATCAAGTCATTTTAACTGCATTTTAGATATCAAGTCATGGATGGCAATGAATTTCCTACAGCTCAACCAGGACAAAACAGAGGTTTTAATTATTGGTCCTGAAGGCCAGAGAGAGAAACTTTTACCAAAACTACAAGATTTTAAACCTTCACAATGTGTAAAAAATCTGGGTGTGATTTTTGACTCTGAGCTTAGTTTTATTCCACACATCAAAAATGTAACAAAGACAGGTTTTTATCATCTTAAGAATATAGCCAGAGTCCGCCCGTTTCTCTCTCAGGCTAACACGGAGGTGCTGATGCATGCTTTTATCTCTTGTCGTTTAGATTACTGTAATGCCCTCCTGTCTGGTCTTCCCAAAAAGACCATCTCTAATCTGCAGCTACTTCAAAACTCAGCCGCAAGAGTGCTGACGAGGACCAGAGGGCGGGAGCACATTTCACCAGTTTTACAATCGCTGCATTGCCTCCCCGTGTATTTCAGGATCGATTTTAAGGTTCTTTTATTAGTTTTTAAATGTCTTAACGGTCTTGGGCCATCTTATTTATCTGACCTGCTTTTATCATATCAACCCTCGCGGATCCTGAGGTCCTCCGGCACCGGCCTTTTAATTGTTCCAAGAGTTAGAACAAAAACCCACGGGGAGGCTGCATTCAGCCATAATGGCCCTCACTTATGGAACAGCCTGCCGGAGAGCATCAGGACTGCAGAGACTGCTGATGTTTTTAAAAGGAGGCTCAAGACTCACCTTTTTAATTTAGCTTTTAACTGATTTCTTTTACTCTTTTAATTCTTCTATTATATGTTCTTTTTACTTTCTAATGCTTTTAAATGATTTATTTTTAAATCTTTATGCATTTTAGTTTCTAAATCTTAATTTATTTATTTATTTATTTATTTATTTATTTATTATTATTATTAATATTATTTTAATCTTTAACTCTTTAATTTTTCCTAATCTCCATGTGTGGAGTCCACCCCGGTCTGTCTGGTCGGGGTGGTCTCTGTGGCGGCGCTCCCTGTGGCCGTGGGCTGTAGCGCCTCTCAGTGTGGATGGCTCCCCATAGGTGGTTCTTTCCTCACCTGGTTACTCAGTGCCCAGCCATGTTATTGACTATATTGACTGTGTGTGTGTGTGTGTGTGTGTGTGTGTGTGTGTGTGTGTGTTTATATGTGGGGGTGGGAGGGGCGGGTTTTCAATATATATATGTATTATTTTTGTTTGTTTTTATTCTGTGAAGCACTTTGTGCTGCATTTTTAATGTATGAAAAGTGCTATACAAATAAAGTTTGATTGACTGATTGATTGATTATGCAAAATATTGTCAACCAGCAGCTTCGGTACAAAAGAATCTATATCAGACTTCCATCTTCAAACAATACTAGTGGAATCCTGCTGCTGAGGAAACTTAAGATTGTAAGGCAGTGGATGACATGCTTCTTTAAAAGCTTCCACTTTAGTGGAAAATTATGAAAAAAGTCACGTAATGAAAGTGAGAAGTAGACTGACTGAAAGTGAGAAAACTAAGACATACTGTTGTTGATTTTGCATATATTTTTTCCTTTTTCTTTGTTTGGTAAATGGATGGACATTTTCAGAATGAAAGAAAAATTTGAAGAGGTTGATATGTATAGCTTATTATGCAGTGGTTTTAGAGGCCCGGCCCACTTGAGATGAAAGTGTGTGTGGCCCCTGAACTAAAATGAGTTTGGTTTACAGTGATAGCTGTAACATGAAAGCTGTTTCACTTTCGACCTATAAAAAAGATTTCCCCCCACTGCTGCCATGCATGCTGCTCTTTCTTTTAATGTGTTTAAGGAAAACCTTTTTATTTTATTTTTTTTAACTATATACTGACATTTTAAGGCCTAAACATCAAACACTCTATGAAAATAATCTTTTTGATGCAGCTCTACAAAAAAATAATACAAAACCTGTAGAGCCAGTTCTTTTATTGTGGCGTTATGAATATTTCTTTTATCTGCTTCTACTCTAATTTTTTGAGTGCAAAAAAATGATTTGTGATAAACTGCAACCAACCTGGCAATAACAGACTGGAATTAAAAAGCAGTGGTGAAACTGTTTCAACTAAAAATGTGAACTCAACGTAATCAAATATGCAAACTCAGTATTGGCAATGAAAGAATAGCTGGTTTGAATGAGTGACTTAGTGGCTGATGGTCAGAGCTAAAACATTATGTCAGTAGCACAGCAGAAGAAAAACAATTTGATTGTTTAGGCAGGCGGACCGATCATCTCAGCACCCAGGTAAAACAGAGGCGTCTATCCTCCATATAAAGTATGTGTTTTATCCATTTTTTTCAGGGTAGGATAATGGAGAGTTACCGACAACCTCTTCTTGTGCTGTGGTTGACTGCAGTGGTAGCGATGAATATACATGGCAGTAATGCTGAGGCTGTGGGAGACGACATCCTGGTAGGAAATGTTCTTTATAATTTTTTAAACTGCAGGAAGTGGAAATATGTTGGTGTGGACACTCTGGCCCAGAACAATGATGGTTCATCTGTTATCTGGATTGTTTAACTGATTATAATCACTGTCCATTCATCCATCAGCAGGTGAAGAACTTCACCAGCAAGCTCCAAGTCATTCCTCATAATGACAACAGCTCCAATGTTACTAAACTGGTGATTGAGGAGAGCCTGATCACTCTGAGTGACGATGACAGACTGGCCCTGGCTACTTATCCCACACTGGTAGAGCTCCACCTGGATGATAACCAGGTGACCAGTATACCAGCCAAATACTTCTCTGTGGTACCAAACCTCAGAGTGCTGTCGCTGACCAGGAACAAAATCAGCAGGTAAATTTAAAAATATACGCTAGCTTGTAGTCTATATACTAATTTTATCAGGTTTTGAATACATTGGAAAAGTAAATAAAGATGCTGGTATGTATAAATGTACTAAATTTATTAGATTTTTCAAAGTGGACAATATTTTCACATTTTATAAAACTTGGAGAAGAGTTACAACTCAGTAGTGCTCCAGACTTCTAAAAATGTGCAGATCAAAATAAGGATAAATATCTGTTACTGATTAGCCAAGAGAATAGCTGCATCACTCGTTTACATGCACAGTTAAGTCGAACTACAGTTAAGGCTTGATTAGGCCATTTAATTGGACTACTGTTGTGGGGAGTTGATTTATCAGCAGAAGTATGCCCCCTTTCAGCTTGTTAGTATTGGAACCTTTCCTGTTGACCTATTAAGTCACAGACCAAACAATCGAGAGTTGTCCAGCTGTTCTGCCACTTTTTGACGAGGCTGCCATTCCTCTTCCTCCCACACATGTATTGTAAATTATTTAACTCTTTGAGCTGACACAGCATGAACTGTGTCTTCTCGTCTGTCCAAAAATGCACAGCTCTGGATGTAGATTTCACCATGTTGTTACTGGCTTCTACTTCTGTTACACATTTGATGCTATTGGACTTCTGGGTCAAAGCCCAGGGCGAAAATTGTGGAGCATGCTCAGAGCGTCTAGGCTAGTTTGGGTCTGACTGATTTGATACATGCAGGAGGAATTCAACTCCCAATCACATTATCTGGGTGTGTTGGTCTGACTTTGAGAAATTCCATTTAGTACGATTTCAGTCAGACGAACATGTTAACATGTATTTTAAAAGTCGGGTTTTAGTCAGACTAACACGATATATCGATTTTCTCTGATGTCATGTGCACGCACTGACTGTTATGGCTGTTACATGATGAGATATATGCACTAACACTGTTATGCCTACATTAATTACTGCTTCACAACTGATTCTACCTCTGGGTGTTACTGCAGCCTGGACCCAGAGTCTTTCTCTGGCCTAGATGTCCTCACCGAGCTGGACCTGTCCCACAACCTGCTGGCCAGTGTCCCTTCACAGCTATTCAGACAGCTGAAAAATCTACAGGTAAACCCCCCCCAAAATCCCTGGGAGTGTTCCCAATGTGCAACGCTTTCAATATTTATTAGGACCAAGTTTAAAAAGAAAAGTCAGAGTTCATCATCATGTTTACAATATGTTGTTAACCTGAAGTTCTGGTCTAATTCTCCAATGTCTGAAATAAAACCTTTTAAATATATTTGTACTGTAGCTCGTTATTGTCTATGGGAAAGACAAAAATGTGGTCCTCAAAGAATGTTCATCAAATGCGTAGTCACTGGTGGACTAAAGTTGCTTCTGTGCAAAAGACAACTAAGTGTAAACCTGGCCAAGTATATTTTGTTTTCCCAAGTTATTATCAATCCATTAACCTGACCCTGTCTGATCTCATTAGGTGCTGAACTTACAGGACAACCCCTGGAATTGTTCCTGTCTGCTGCTGAGCAGTATTGAGGAGATCAAAGCAGCCGGAGTTACCACAGGTAATAATATTCCTTAAAAAGTTTTAGAAATAAAACTGACAGGTGGGCCTTATCCAGGCTGCTTCAGAATTCTTATCTACTCTTATTCATAGGAATACTTGTATTTAGGGCTTGATCTGATCTAATCTCAGAACATCACTCTCTGCCTTAAAGGGGAAGAATGCACATTTTCGAAGTTCATATATGTTATTCCTAGTGATGGCCAAATGAAGCCTCATGAAACATTTTCTTTATTTTATGAGCCCACTAGATGGCGCTCATGGTTTAAAGAGAGAGGCTCAAAAAATGGCAATTCAGTGTGCTTTCAACCTTTTGTTGAACAAAAAGCGCCATCTAGTGGGCTCAGAAAATAAAGAAAATGCTTCATGAGGCTTCATTTGGCCATCACTAATTAATCCTATGTGTGTGACCAAAAATATTAGTTAACATGAACAAATCTCTCCTATATCCAAAAGCTAGAGTGCTAAAACTCAAATTTGTGATGTCATAGGGAAATAAAGTCTGGAGCTGCTACAATGACCAAGAATTGGGAAAGATGTTAAAGATGACACTGAGAGCATCAAGGGGAATGTTCTTAGTACAGACTGAATCACAATGTTTGTCTACAATAACTTTGGGACTCCGGGGTTTTTCGGACCTAATTGTATTGCGGAGTTTTGCACAGCGGTGACCGGATCTTTGCTCTCAAACCACAAAAAAATGTGATGGCACAACAGTCTCCTTCAGTACATTATTCTATGCTTTCTTTTGATTTTCACATTGGCTAGTCATCCTGTTTAATTTGTTTTATGATTAAATCGGAACCGTTGAAACAAGTTGTAGGAAGCCTCTGCAAGTTATTGGTTGCTGGCAGACACTCTGTGCTGCAATAAAATGGTTAATCAGCAGTGCCGTGCACTGTAGAGCCGATGCGCTGCTGGTTCTGCCGGCCTGAATAGAATATAATGTCTATAGCCTTACTGTTGTGTGTACAGCCTTTATAGACTGAGCTGAGTAGTGATGCGCGGGTCGACCCGTAACCCGCGGGACCCGCAAATGGACCTGCGGGTCGGGCAGCAGTGATCGTCTGTTAAATCAGTCTGTAAATGATATTTTGACATTATTGGCTATTACTGTCAAGGCATCCGAAGGTACTGATGCGTTGAGCAGGTGACAGTCCGCGGTCGTTTTCAAAACACACTTGTGTCACACACTCCAAAAGAAACTTGTTGAAACTTTAAACAATAATTTATTGTACAAAACGGGGGAAACAAACATTGACGAAAACGGTTCCATAATTCATATTAAATTCAAAAGATAACGAAAAAACAGCTACAAGTTAGAGGGAATAGTGATAAAGTGGTAAAACTTGGCATTGATCCACAGCCTCAGACGGATGCGCTCAAGCGTGCCGTGCACAAGCTCAGTTGGTAGGCTATACTATATTTTCACATTTTTAACAATGCAATTTAAAAGTTTTGATTTTTATTGATAACCTACATTTACCAACAACAGAAAGACTACATTTAGCACCAAAAAAATATGTAAACACAAAATAAATAAAAAATAAGTAAATAAAAAAACAAATATCGAATACCAAATTTTCATAATGAATATGCCTACCCATAGAAACGAATATTCGAATATCCTAATATTTGGGTACAGCCCTAATTTTTTTTAGGTGGGTCTTCTTAGGCTGCTGAAATGTGTTTTGCTGTGGCCGCTGTCCACAGCAGTAGATTTGGTTTATCACAGATGTTAGCAAAGCAACACAGTACTTACAATAAACACAGCAGAAATGTCAGATAGGTCAGACCATAGTGTTTAAACCTTACACTTAGGGTTGAAAATGACCATAGAAATAAACAAGTTTGCTTAAATCACATTTCTCTGCCATTGAGAAATTGCCAGTTGTCTACCTAGAAGTTATTAATGTCAACGTCATGGTCAGTCTGCCTGCTTAATGAAGCTCTTCTGGGTCTAAAAAAAGGAGACAAACATTCTGCAGATGCACAAAATCAGTCTCCCATTCATTGTCTGTGGAGCAACTCCACACACTTTAGAATGTGAATCTAGAATACTTTAAACTATTCTAGCTCATGGAAATGTCATAATGGAGTTCTTAATATAGCTGTTCCCCTTTAAAACTGCCTCTTTCACACTGTTTCCAAACTAAATAAACTGATGCTGTGCTTAACAGACAATGGTTTAGATAATCCATGTATTACAGTTGTCTTAGAAGGTGGCAGAAGACTTGCATTTAATCTCTCTGTAAGTTTTACCTTGTGCTTTACGTTAATCTGACAGCATTCCAATGCGCCGTGCTGTCGTCAGCGCAGACTGTTGTGGTGACTTACACGTCAAAGTGACCTGGGTGCTTACTCAGACATGAATAAAGTAAACTGCTGTCAGCTTAATGTAAAGGGGTGCATGTTTGAGCAGCTTAAGTAAATGTTCATGAATTAAATTGCTTGTATATGTGTGGCTCTACAGGGGGGCAACAAGTCACCTGTGCTTCTCCAGAGAAGCAGGCTGGGACAGATCTTTTGCAGGCTACAGTCATGTGTTACCCATCATCACCCCCACCTATCGACACTACAGACCCACAAACAACCACAAAACCAGTCACCCCTCAACAGTCTTGGGGCTCATCTACTGTGCTGAAGACCATTCTGACATCAAGCCAGAACCGCAACATCAACATAGGTAAGAATAAGAGAGACCTGCGTATTTTCTTATTCTTTCCCTGATCTTCTATTACATATGTGGATGCACAAACAGAACATAACGACCTTAACACACTGGTCTCTCCTCTCTGTCTCCATGACCCAACCCCAACTAGACCAGACACCTGTGCTCAGCAACACATGGAAGTTCACGGCATGTGTTATGGCCTTGGCACTATGCACCTCCATGCTCATTGCATGTGGCATGAAGGGCCCCTCCTGGTACAAGCTCTTCCACAACTACCGTCATCGGCGACTGCGCCAAGAAGAGGACCAGGACGACACCGTGTCGACAGTCTTCTCAGAGACAGGGAGACACATGACCCATCAGACATTCACCTTTGAGCAAGAGGATGGGCAGATAGAGGAGGGAGAGGAAGATGAATATTTTGAGGATCCATACATCAGAAGGGAAGGAGACTTAGGAGAACCATGACAGAGCAAACAGCAGCTGGTGAGCAAGTGACAAGGCGAGGAGGGGCAACGAGGCAATCGTCACAAGAGGAAAATTTGTCACTTGTGTACTTTAAATAGGTGCTAAATGTAGGACTGCTGTGTGGCTCCTAATGAACATTGCCTTGAGATGGGATATGTATAGTACACATCACTTTAGGTGGATACCCTGAGGATGAATAAAATCATTTCACTACTGATGTTCTAAGCACTAGTTAGTGTTACCATTCCAGGGGTCACCAAACTCTGACCTGTGTCTGTGGCTCCTTCTGTAATATTTTTGTATTGTTTCTATTGTAACGTTTGAGCTCTTGTTCAACTAAACCTGGCTCAGATTACAGGAATTTTGGGCTTACTGATCCTCGATCTACCCCACCTGACAACTGGAGGAGAAATCCGGTCTGGGACCATAAACGGTACCAGTGTTGAGCCCAGATTACCTGTTAATCTGAGAGGTTTACAGATCCAGTCTTAAACCACCTGATTATTTCAAACATGTTTGATATTTGGTACAAAGCAGCTCACAGTGTTGCCAAGCAACATTTTAAGCCCAGTTCAGACCGAAGATTCGCGATGAGAGAAAACTGAGTTAGAACGCTGCAGAGAAACGTTGCCATGGTGTGAACTGGCCGGTCTAAACTTGACTCAAGCTGGACACTCAGCTGGTCAAACAGCCAGCGGCTAGTTTTAGAACGTAAAGCACGTCACCTGTTTCGACAGCCAATCTGCCTGTATTAAAGTCGACTGGTCAAGTCAAACTGACCGCAGATCGCGTGTTTGCTTGCTGCGACAGGTGCTCTATCCCCGCTGAGCCCTCTGTTTCTGTCCTCACAGTGTGCCAGTGTCAGACGGTGGGTCGCTGCTGCTGCTTGCTGTATGTGCTAATGCCCCCCCCTCACACATACACATTTTCACTGACTGATTAATTGGTGCTGGTTATTTATACTATGTGGCGTATTCATTATGAATACAGTCCATCTGATGCTGGTTTTGTTTCATCACTGTAGCCAGTAACTCACTATCACTATCTCATTTATATTTGAAGAAGCTACAAATTATATTCAGCCACAAAATAAGCTCTGACAAGCTGGAAACAGAAGTACAGAGAGTTGTTGACTAGAGATGATACACCGTCTCATCTAGCTGCATTGGTCTGAACCAGCAGGTTTTAGAATATTACAGAACGGCGCACTGCAAGTAGCTGTTTGTTTCAACTCATCTCATCATGAATCTGTGGTCTGAACTGAGCTTTAGAGCTTATGCTACTGTTGACTGATTTTAAAAGTGATAGTTAAAATCTAACTTTGCTGAAGAATAAACAACCTGCACTAACAGTGTCTCCCCAACCGTTTTCTCTTCCAGATCTGTTTAGCCTTCTGCTTTTGTTTTTCTTCATGCAAAGCAATATTACAGCAAGTTCTCGCTGGCGGTGCGTTCATGCTCCCTTGTATGGTGTGTCTGTTGTTCAAATGTGAAATACAGCTAACATTCCAGAAAGACATGAGCTTGACATGAAAATGATCAATTTCCTAAATCAATCATTGATCACACCAATGCAAACATTAAAACCTTTTAAAAGTCAATAAACATGTTTATTATGCTTTCCTCTATCATCATTTTTATTTCATGAATTAACATTGGCTATTGTTTCTAGAACAAACAGCATTAAACATAAGGTTAAGAACAGGATTTCCCAACTTTAAGTCTATCCCCAGTAAACCCCAGCATTACAGCTGTGTTGTTACCCCACAGTAGCCCGCATTAAATGTCCCCCAAGCACTTACTCTCTCCTCTCAGTGAAGATGCTGTCGATGCTTTCAGCCTCGCTGTCATTCTGGGCTTTCAACTGGGGGGCACAGAGAGGAAGACAAAAGAAAGGGATGAGCGGATATTCTCATTATATTTGCAATGATAGAATAGTTTAAATACTTGTGAAAGGCGTCTGAACGCAGCTCAAGAAAAGTGATGTCACTCCAGTTTCAAAGGGTGAAGCAAGAGGTGTAAGAAATGTTCCCACACTGCTCACATGGTGAACTTACAATGTTGTAGTCATTGATCATATCCTCCATCTCTGTGTTGGTGTTGAGCTTGTCCACCAGCTGCAAATACAAACAAACAAAAACAACTACAAAAAATGTAAAAACATGACCTACAGAAATTAAGCTGTGTATCAGTGTAGTGTTGCTTTCGTCAACGAAAAGTATGACTAAATATCGTCATCAACGAACCTTTATCACGTGACGAAAACGAAACGAGACGCAACGTAAATGGTGGTCATGTGACGATAACTATAATTAAATATATAATGCAATATTGTTGACGAATAAAAACGAGACTAAATGTGGTTTACAAAATAAAACCTCTGCTAAAAAGTCTCTTCATTTTCGTTGACCAAAACGAGACGAGACGAAATAACGTTATAATGTTTAGTCGCGTTATTATTATTATTATTTTGCAGTATTTCCGTTTCCTAGGCTGTGCGTCGCACTGCGCAGGCGGATTACAGCCGTGACGATATACAGTACATCATCACTCGCTCTCATGTGATATTGCTTTTATACAACAGTTCAACAACAGCTTAAACAGCAATGCTGAGCAAGGAAATGTTAACAAAAGGTGATGAAATAAATTATTTAAGTATGTTATGTAGCTCCGCAAAAAAAAAAACAGTTCCCCCAGTCTGTTGCCAGGCAACGCGGCACACACCAGGAACTCACAAGCTACTTTGTATTTTCATTGATCTGAAGCTGTGTAACTTCGTCCAGTTCGGCTGATGAGACGTTGGCAAACCTGGATGTTGGCACAGCCGGATTCAGCTTCCACTCTCCCTCATCCTCATCAGTACCTCATCAGATAATCATTGATAATTCCTGACCGTTATCACTTCATTTTTACTCCACTCCAGTTTATCGAGGTCGGCTGATGTTACACAAACACACCTGGAGGTCTGCACAGAAGAGTCCTGGCTTTCCTTTTCCTCGTCCTCTCCTGACAACCACTCATAATTTAATTCAAACGTAATTTTGGGGAAAATATCCATCTTCTTGGTGTAACGCTATAGTGTCAGTTTGTGTCAATGTAGAGTGTGACAGTTGGTTAATTAACGGCTGTATTTATATTTATTACACGGCTCTATTAAATGCTGTATTCTGATTGGTCAGTCGCAGCATTCAGAGGTCTGATATTACTGTGTAATGACCGTTGCTATGTAGCCCAGCGTTGCTAGGGACGCTGCCCTGACAAGGAGATTCAGCCATTGCCGGCAGGGCAGGGTGCGCGTCGGGGTTCTATTCCCCTCTCGAGAGTTATTTTCCCAGTATTCACCAGCTCATTATACATTATCCCTTACTTATAACACCTGTGAGCGGAGTGATTTTCCTGTTACAAGTCCCAGTGATGTTATACTCTATATCAGCACTCAAGGAATGCCTCTCGTCCAATCAAATTACTTGATCGGAACTAACTGTTGTATAAATAAATATATATTTAGCTCTAATTAGGAGCTAATTTAGAAAAGAAAATTTTGGTTTGGTTATACTATACTAGATACTTATACTATATTGACTGGGTATAATAGAATTGCATTACTAAAAAGAGACTAAAATACAATTTTCATTGACTAAAACTAGACTAAAATGTCATCAGTTTTCGTCGACTGAAACGAGACAAAAATAGTCATGGATTATTCTGACTAAAATAAGACTAAAATGCTCAGACTTTTAGTTGACTGAGACTTGACTAGACAAAAAAGAGTATGAACGTGACTAAAACTAATAAAAACTAAAATGACAGTTTGACACAAAGACTAGACTAAAACTAAAATTAAAACAGGCCGCCAAAAACAACACTATATCAGTGTGATTCATTAAGTGTTAAATCGGGGCACCTTGTATTATATCAGACACTTAAGCCTTTAAAGTACACCGCTAACATTCAAATTATGTCTAATCGATCAAACTAAACTGACCAAATATACTTTACCATCATTCAGCTGCTGAGCTGGAGGATTTCTTTCCCACCTGTCATTTGTTTGAGCTAATCATTCTCCATTTTTACACTCACTCACTAGAAGTCACTGTGGATGACTTCAGCTTAATACACAAAGTGTAAAAATATTCTGATATTGTTTATTGTTTGTGACCAAATTTTAATTGCTTTACCTTTTCCCCCAATTTACATTCTGATATTGTTCTGATACTTGTTCAGTTTGTTGCTTCTAATATCCAGGATGTAGGAAATGAAGATTATTTTCCAGTGGTTACTCACTGAACGTAATTATGGACAATGACTAAGACTTCTTCTTTACAGTTATTTACCATGTTGTAGTCAGCGAGCTGCCCTTGTAGATCCTTAATCTCTCCAGCCAGGCCTTCAGCTCTGAGAGCGGAAAGAAAACAACAAAGGGATGGAAATTAAGGAATTTTTTATTTACATTTTTATGCAGTTGTTCATTATAATATTAATCTTTTCTATTGGTCAATCTATTTCAAGAGCCCTCGTAGTCATATGGGATTACAGCGCAAACAGACTGGGTTTCAGATCCATTTGTCTCAAGGCCCAAACACACCGGCGGCAAACACTGCATGTCAAAAAATGTGCCCTGTTTATTTTTGATGTACAACCCCACACCAGTGGTGACTAGACGCACGTTAACACTCCTTGACATGCTGCCCTGCGACACTTCACACCACTGTCCTATTTCCAGCCTCACCATCCCTGGAATTAAATTAATTTCCCTCCACAGACTCTCTGCTTGTACATACCAGCTCCTAAAGCAGCTCTTTTTCTCTGCTCCTATGGCAGCTCGACTCTTCTCCTCACCATGGATGCATACAGACATACATACATACTGCATACATACTGTTGCTGTCTCATGTGTGATGAAGAATGGATGAGGAGACACTCGTTGTTGAGGTTGAGAGACATCCCAAGCTAAACAACCCACAATCCCGTCAATATAAAAACAACAGCCATTAAGATACTTCCTGGACAGATCTGCTCTTCAGGTGAGAAATCAAGTTTAATTGGGGGCTGTCCCCAAGTGATTTTAGATAATGCAGAGGTGGAGGAAGTACAGATCTTTCAGTAAAACTAGTAATAACTCTGCGTGGTCATCTGTTGCTGCTGCAGCACGACACGCGTCTAGTGTGTGCAGCGTGTTTTTAGCTTGACATTTCCTGACCGGAGAAGGGAGTTCTGTTTCTCTGTGTTCTCACATAGATCTTATTTCCTCACACAGCATGCATTATAATTGCATAGTTATTTGTTTTATCTTTAGATTATAATTTCTAGCTTTCATGGTTCAGTGCAGTCTACAGACACGTCCCTGTGTATGGTCAGTGAGTGTATTTTCTTATTTTTATGAATACTAGAAGGCTGTGGAATGTAGTGGACCTTAATAACACAGGAGACTGTCTGTTTTTTTTTTCCAATTACAAAATGTACAGTATGCACTGACAAGTAAAAACACCACTCACCTCTTCTCATAGGAAAGATAAACAGAATTCTCCTGACGGTAGTTGTCGATCTCTTTGTGCAGTTTGCTCGTCTCTGTGGTTAACTCGTTGATTTTGCTCCTAACAGCAACAACAAAACATTCACTTTGAAATGGTAAAAGTGACCAGTGTATATCGATAGGATGTTAAAGAAAAGGTAAAGGTAATACCAATAAGGGCATGACCAATTATGTTGGTGACAGTAGGAGAAATAGTTGTATTACCTAAGAAGGCCCAGGTAGTAGGACTTATCCAAAATCTGTCTCTGAGGTCCTTTTAGAGATGGAGAGAGAAGGAGAGGTTAGACTTGTAATGATATAATGCCTGTTTCAGCATGGCTGCCTTAACATTAAACTGTAAAAATACAAATCTATGTATGTATAAAGTGTCAGCTGATGTCACTGCAGAGTTACCTTTCATGCCAGTCTTCATACCACTGAGCCCCTGTTGGGTCACAGGCCTGTCAGTCACTTTGATCTGTGCTGACAGGACTCCGGGGGTGGCGATGGGGATGCCGCCCCTCATGCCAGGATGACCACTCGTACCTGGAACCATCTGGGTTAAAAATGAAAGAATAAAACTCCATAAAATGCGGATTCTACTAACTCATTTGTAGGAAACATTGATGTTTAAAGTTACAGCTGATTGTGAAATTAAAATGCTGCCTTCGTAAATCAGGTGCTAATTACATCCAGATCATAAATGCAAAATATGTGAGACATGTAAGTATAAAAATGGTCATTAAAAGCTGAGATACTTTTGGGCTTTTGTACCTTCCCTACTCTGGTTGATATGATGCTGTGAAGTACCCAATATACTCCCAGGAAGAGCACTTGTATCTCAAAGCCAAAATGCATCCAAGCCACAGCTGACTTACCCCAGTGGTGACACGGATAGCTGTAGGAGGAGGTCGGACGGCTGTTGGTGGTCTTCCAGCACCAGGGGCTGCAGATCCACTGCGGCTCATCGGGCGGCCAATGCTGGAGGGAGGCCGCTGACTCGCCATGATGCCTAAAGCCAGTGGACATATTAACAGTAACAATAATCAAATATTTGTCTACGATGGGTGGAAACACACTCATAAAGCCCAGAAGTGCTGCTTCAGCTCAGTGCTTGTCAGACTTGAATCCTGATGCAGACATTTGTGTATTTCTTCCATCCCTCCCTACTCTGCCCACACCTGAGGCTTATACTGCGATGCAAGTTCAACTTACCCAGGATATCTTTTTGTTATCCGGCTTGACTAATCCTAACATTGGCCATCTGGGTAAACAGCGCTACAAAGCTGGTTATCAGCTAGTTCAGGCAAATCTGGGTTTTCCTATTCAGCCATGGGCGTGTTCAAGTGAAGAGGTTAGGGTGTTAATTACAAGCGACATCAACTGAACCATGAATGAAGCAGGCTACTTCATATGTTATGAGATCGAACGGTACTGAAAGCGCCTGGGACTGTGAGACAGTAAAATGTCAGTGGCGTGGGATGTAAATGATACTCTGTAATCTCATAACATAAATGTGGAATATTGAGAATACTATCCAAAAATTCACCGTCGACCGAAAGTTAAATTATGTGTCGGTATCATTAGGCTATATCTGACATTAGTGTACAGTATTTTTTGCTGTTTAGTTGGATGATGATGAATATGTCACATAAAACACTGAGAAGTGATGCCAGACTGTTTCTGTTACTAAATTAAAGGGTGGAAAAGTCGCCTAGTTAATGACTGATGAGATCTATCTGACTAAAATCTTGCAATTATAATAATGGAAGCCAATCAACATTTCTATAATAAAATATTAGCTTTTTCCCCCCAGTTCTCACGACACAGGTGTCTCATTTTTTTGAGTTGCACTGATGGAATCAGAGTGTAAAATATCAACACTGTCACTGCGGAATAAAATAAACTTTGCACAAGTTAAAATGCTGCTAAAGTCAGGTGTTTAGTGTGTAGATGATCTCTGTGTTTGTTGGAAGCTCAGTTTGAAAACCAGTGGATATGAAACCCTGAAACAATAAAATGACCTACTTTTACTACTGACTTATGACAATATATAGGTTTCTCTTTTTTTTTTTAATCTGAGAATTTTGTCCATGGATACTTTTTTCTTCAGCGATATGATTGGTCAGAGTTCAGGTTGTTGACAGGCTGTGATCTGATACTCTGAAGTTAACCTGTTCAGGTCAGCTGTTCAGCATCAGTTACCAGGGTGGAGTTAACCCTGAAGTCACCTCGCTAACTCCAAATCCTGCTTCATAGTACAGGCCTCTGATAGGCTTTAAAATGGATGACTATGCCTGCTCTAGCTAACACAGTGTGAGCAGGAGGGAAAGATGGGAAATAAAGTGCTGGGGCTTTCCATGTAAGAATGTAAGAAAAATATTACATGCAACACAGTATATAAATTATGTTTGTTCTGGATGCACAGATCCCATATTACTGAAGAATTGTCTGGACTCAGGAGCACAAACCTTTTCACAATCTTAACTCTTTGTAAGGGCAGTTGTGTAAATTCATGACAGCTGTCCTGGCAACTGAATGATGCTGCATGTGTCCAAGTTTTGAGGCTGGCTTTTGGATTAAACTCTGTCACACAGCATTTACACTTGCACCACTGATGCAGAGTCAGAGAGGTTATCAGACAGACTTCATGTGGTCTGTCAGTGTGATCCTCTGCAGCAACAACAAAAGCAAGGTTGCCCATTTAATAAATTCCCAACAGCTTGGTGACCATGCAACTTTGAATATCAAGAACAAATAGAAGTAACGTTAGCTGCCTGCACGTTTATGTATATGTCGATGTAATGATTTTACAATGACCGTTACCGACCAACCGACAGCTTTAGCATTAGCATTAGCTATACGACGTTAAGTTAACGTTATCTATGAGAAATAACGTAATGTTAACTATAGCTAAACTCACTTCGGTCGTTTTGGAGTAGGTCCCTGATACCCAAATTGTTACTTCACCATTACCGTTAGCCAAAGTTAAAATAACTTTAGCGTTAGCTCGTTACCACAAAGCAGCACTGATAAGCTAGCTAATGTTTCGTACCTTAAACCGAACTCCTTCTCGGTCGTTTTCGTCGACAGAAAATCTCTCTACAATTTCCGACCGTAGCAGCTGTTCAGTTAGCTCCTTTACTTGATAGGAAAACGTAAACTGCCGCTCAAAGTTTATACGCTAGCTAGCTACAAGTCAGCTCATTGTTAATGTTTGCGTTACCTTAGTAACTGTCTTCTTCGCCTGACATTAAGCAGAGTAGAAGGAGGAGAGTGCGGTGCTGCCCCCAGCGGCCAACAGCGGAATCACACACAGACCAGATCTGAGTTATTCTCTTCTGTTTGGACTGTTTTGTTTTTTTTTATTATGTATTTATTTCAAATTTCAGGTCATACAAACAATGTGTACGGCACATGCAGACATTTGGCACGTAATAGAACACATAATTACATCAATATAATGTAGGGTACATCAAGTCTTGTCAGGATTATTGCAAAATGAAAATAAAAACAAAACAAAGAAAAGAGAAGTAAAGGGTACAAGGCACAGTAAATTCCCTTTTACTCGAGATCAGTTAATGACAAGTCATTAAGGTATTGCAGCATATAGTCACTTTTCTTATTTTGTGTTAGTTTTAAAGTATGTACAAATAAAAATCTACCAGAAATATGTGGAAACTTGGCAGGGATTTGGACATTCTCATTTTATCTAAGTAGCATAAGATTAATTACAAAGGACAAAGACTTATCATTTCATACAAATCTTGTAATAATATCCTTCAGACCAACTGTGATGATATGTCCAGTTTTTTTCATAGATATATTTCTCAAAATCCCTCCAAAAGACAGATGGCACAGGGCAAATACAGAATAAATGTGCAATTGTCTCTGACTCAGTCTCACAAAAAGTGCATTTATCATCCAAGTCTGTGAACCTGGAAATTGTGTTGTTACAAGGATAAATGTTGTGTAGTATTTTGAACTAAGTTCTCTTATTTTATTTGAAATACAGACTTGAAAGGGGCACAACCATGTTTTACGCCAGTTAATATTGACTAATTGTGAATTCCAGAAGAACTTTCCTCTGGGGGAGATCTTATTGTAACTATGAAGTGCATTCCTAACATGCTTATTGGTAAATTTTCTATCGAGTATATCAATCCCTCTAATCGTGAAAGAAGGTGTCTGAACCTCAATCTTTTGATAAGTTAAGTGACACTTCATTAACCCGAGCATATTCTGAGGAATGGCCTTTACAACAGAAGCAAATTCTTTGAATTTGACTGGAAAGGATTTTGTTTTTAAGAAATTTTCATAACTATAAAGATTGCCATTATCTTCAAATAAATCTGCAACAAAAAATATACCCCTTTCAATCCAGCCTTCCTCATATAAAGTCTTGTTTTTGACAGTAATATTGCCATTGTTCCAAATTATTTCCTTATGAGAAGAGAAGTTATGCACATAACACAATTTTCATGCCAATAAGGCCTGCTGATAAAACTTTGAAAGTTTAACTGCTAATTTAGCGACAGTAAAATTGCAACTTAGTAAAAATTTTAAGCCACCTACCATTTTAAATAAATTGTGTGGAATAAAATACCACAGTGACTCCGTTGCTCCAAACATTTCTTAAGCCATTTGATTTTAAAAGTGGAATTTAAATGAAAATTCTCTTCTGTTTGGACTTCTGAGTGTGTAGTCTTTCTAATGACGTACTTTCAGTCTTATACTTAACTTTACAAACTGCGACTTTCTTGACTTGCAAAATTACTTTTTAAATGTACAAATATAATGTATGTGATTTTTGGCACGTTCAAATAGGATCAAAAATGATTTGTCACTCGCCATTAACTAGCATAGGGGAGAGCAGGGTCGTCTGTGACACTTTTATACAGACAAGGGGTTGCTTCTTAAATCTAATCTGGCACTCTACAGTAAAATTAGAGCCCTGTTGTTCAAAGTAACAGAGCATTCTTTTTCTATGTTAATCAACAAATGGTTTAATGAATCTCACATTCATTCTGTTCAGCGCTCTGCTGCTCCGTCTTCCCAGACAGTTTCTGTGTCTCAATTCAGGGGCTGCAGCCTTTGAAGGACGCAAGGACGCTTGACGAAAGGAGTAAGCTAGTAAGTATATGCATATATTTTTTATTTAATACTTGAGGAGATGATTCACCACCGGAGACACCGCCGCTTGATATATTTCAGGCTGACGGGCTGTTTTCAGGTAAAATTAGCCTATAGGAATGTTAACCGTTAACAAGTTAACAACTGTTAGTTAACTCAACTTAATATATGATCATAACTGGTGCGCAATGCACCTTGGGATAGGCTGGGCCACGAAGGATTCATCCTTGCATCTTACAAATTCTGGGAGGCCGCATTTCTTGGCCACAGTTGAAGGACTGACAATCAGTCTTCAAATACACCCTTCAAAGGCTGCAGCCACTGAATTGAGACACAGCTAAATATAGACGATGCGGGCAGTGTGATTGCATCAGGGCCAATGGGGTGGAGGGGCCCACAGAGAGAGAAGGCTTGTAAAAGTGATTCAGATTGCCACCTTGCGTCATGGTTTTCTTTGTTTTCAACATATTGTACCTGGAGCAAGACAGGGGAGCATAGAATAATGGTCCTTGCATTTATTACAATGTGATAGTTTTATTCTGGAACTGTTTGCATGGTGGTTTCAAAGGTAAAGAAGTTTGAAAGGAAAAATAAATGTACAGTAGCTTGCTAAGAACCAAAACGACACGTTCACATGCAACAGCCGGGAAAAGAAACAAACAAAAACAAAAAAAAGTATTGAATATGTAGTATTTTGAGAGTGAACTTGTAATGTCTTGTTCATCTGATACCATGTTGCATGTACACATTTGCTCATGCAGAGGATCAAAGAATGGCAGCTCTATTCCTCACACTTCCCCTAGAGGTCAGTGTCTGTCTTTGTTTCTGATGAAGCAGAACACCATTAGTCCCACGACTTATATATAACCTAACCATATATAAAACCAAACATTGCTCTTGTATCTTTTTTATGTTAAAATAAAATCCAAGGATAATAAATTGCTGACATTACTGACCTGTTGATGAAGTCAGAAGACGTTAATCTGTGGAGACATTTTATCATGACACAGCAGGAAAAGCAGGGGTGCAACTACAAACTGTTGACAATGGCTTCATTCCATCTCAGTGTCCTCTGGGCAGATTTCTGTATGCTAGTTCACTGCCATGTCTTACAGGAAATATTCCCTATGTTCATATTTCTTTTTTCAAACCCAACACACTCAGGATCATCACACAGGTGTTGTCACTTGTCGGCTGATTAGACCTCTCAAGAAGACTGTGCTTGATTGATTGGATTGATTGGATCATCTTGAGTAAACAGGTCATGGTTTCTTGCTGTTGAGTTTTTCAAATCTATTTTTTGGCACCACAAGCCTTGTGCCATCTAGTTCCATTATGCTGGAGATGGCAGACATCTCTACGGCCAATATCTCCAAAATTTGGCACCTCATACCAAAACAATCTATGTATTTTTAATTTGGAATGAACCGCCCCTTAAAGGTGGAACAATTTGTATCTTCATCATTCTTTTAAAAGTAGCATACGGGAGCCGGGTATCACTCCAAAGTCGTCAAAATCTGGCACTTGGGCAGTGACTTGTGGCGTCAGAAACCAATGAAATGGGCATCTGTTAACACTGGCATGATAGGCAGCTGGTTGCTTTTATAGTTTAACGGCACCCCGTCGTGTCTTAGTGATGGCCAAATGAAGCTTCATGAAGCATTTTCTATATTTTCTGAGCCCACAAGATGGCGCTTTTTGTTCAACAAAAGGTTGGAAGCTTCACTACAATGCCTTCTTTGAGCCTCTCTCTTTAAACCATGAGCGCCATCTAGTGGGCTCAGAAAATAAAGAAAATGCTTCATGAGGCTTCATTTGGCCATCACTAGGTAAACGCTGTGGGACAAGGACGAATGTTAAGGGGGCAACAGTCCCACTGGGGCGAGCAGGAGTGGTGGATGGGTCCAAAGAACACAGACTTTCTCCAGAGAGAGCGGTGTTCGCATCCTGTAGGACTCTAAAGCCAAACCCTGTTCTTTTTTCCTAAACCTAACCATGTGTTTGTTGTTGATGAAAAAAAAAAAAAACACCACTTAGTTGTATGGAAACATTAAATTTCCTGTGAAAACACAAGTGTATTTTGAAAGACATTGATGTAACAGGCAGAACTTGACACATTGTCCCAGAACTAGTGATGGCCAAATGAAGCCTCATGAAGCATTTTCTTTATATTCTGAGCCCACTAGATGGAGCTTTTTGTTCAACAAAAGGTTGAAAGCACACTAAATTGCCATTCTTTGAGCCTCTCTCTTTAAACCATGAGCGCCATCTAGTGGGCTCAGAAAATAAGGAAAATGCTTCATGAGGCTTCATTTGGCCATCACTACCCAGAACAACAACCAACACACCCAGGGTACCTTATACGTCGTATGTGGACGTAGAAAGTCCATGACTAAAGGTTAAGATGTGACAAGGTCAAAGTGACAATGTGTTTCATATGGACTTAGCTCTGTGCAACTTAAACCTCAAATTAACCGACTAAAAACACCTCCTTAAACATTTCAACAAAGTCAAAGACAAATGAGAGTTTTAGTCCATTTTATTTCATGTTCAATAATCACATCACTAATTAACAAGTAATCACAATAAACACTTTTTTTTCCAAACCAAAAAATAAAATTCAAATTAATGAAAAAAAAAAATGAAAGAAAAACAACAACACAAAAAACAATGAGGAGGTTCTGCAAATGACATAGTAAGTCTACCTAACACATCCCATTGTTGTTTTTCAGCATGCTCTGCAGGTACAGTAGGCGTTTATTAGCTAGTGTTACTCTTGCATGAGTGCAGTGGTGGTAGATGAAGCTCTACAATGCTCCCTGGATAGATTACTGAGGAGCGTTTATTACACAAGCCAAACCTGACAACTACGGTTAGTTCACCTTAGACAAGGATGTGTTAGGGTCTCGGTGCGTGTGTCTCTCCGGGGCAGGTTGCTGCTGTTTGAGTGCTATATATGTAGCAGCCAACATGTTTGATATGCACTTCTCCCAAAATTACAGGCCTACATGTTGGCCTCACTTAGTGCCTGCTTGAATAAGAAGTTCCCTTTGCCCACTGTGATGTACAGTGTCATGTGTTTCAGGTGCGTTAGCTTCTGTCTGCTTGGTTCTTTTATCATTTGAACCTGCAGAGGTCACTGTGTCCTGAATGAGAAGTTAACCAGCTAGTCAAAACGTTATTATCTTTTAAGACTGGGCTTACGGGCATGATTTAATAGTGTGCACTACAAATTTAGTTTAAAAATGTCTTAAATTTAACTCTATGCTGCCAGTTTAACATTTAAATCCAGCTGCTCTTACAGCGCCTTAAATAAAATCAGATTTTAAAGGTTTGAATCTTTAGTGCACATCCACAATTTGTGAAACTGGCTGTCACAATTTAAAAGTATAATCCCTTCAACCATGAGAGCACAACCACCACGAGGCTACAGGAACACAACGATAAATACATATACAAAAGTGTTGCGTCTTTAGTACAATATATCTCAAAAGACATTCTTTCACTTCAGTAGCCTCTTTCTAATGAAAAAGGCAGACTTTTTCAATTTCTCATACTAATAATCAGAATAATAATAGTCATAATAGTCATGATAAAATACTTCCTCCCCCTCAGAGCCATTAAAAGGTACATGGACATAAAAGCTGATCTTATCAGACCTTGATACCAGCCCCTCCGTCCCCACCGCGGATGCTGTTACTGTCTTTTTTGTTCTTGTTGGGGCCATGAAGAGTGCATCGACAATAAAATATCTATATACATCCGTGTGCAATCTCAAATTAGTGGTAAGCTAAAAGATGGTCGTGGACAGGCACAAGGAAAAAATTTAGCTACGCGACAGCCGTGGCACAAACAAAGCAAATCGACTATTTGATGACAGCTGCTCTCAGTCCTCAACCTGCGGGAAAGTACTCCAACATCTGCACATGAAACAGTCCCACTTCAGAAGACATTAGTCAAAAGTTATTGCCTATTTTGTCCAAAAAAATCGTGATCTTTCGTTAAGGCTTTCTTTTCTTGAATACAATTTTAAGGGATTCCAATATGAAACAAAATAATGACTCAATCTGAACTGAAGAGTAAAAAGAGGGCACTGTAGTTCAGTTTATTGCTCTGTCTCATGTCATCACACAAAATCTCATTTCTGATTAAGCCATTTAGGAGCACTTGTTCAAAGAAGGGTACTTTAGCTTATAATTAAATCCTCTTAAATCCCTTTTGGATATATTAAAGCATTAAGGTGCAATTTAGTTCTGTCAAAGCTTCTTCACGAATCATTAAAGTGACAATCTCAATAGAAAAACTAAGGAGTGTTTTTGTAGTTTCATGTTTTCTCTCTGGGGGCAGTCGATGGAGCTTTGGTCTTAGAAATGAATTTAAAGAAACTAACTGTGCCAATGAATCTGCTGTTATCTTGTTATGTTAGCTTATCGTTACGCGAAAGAATTATAATGGAGACAAACCCAACGAAAACTGGAAGTCATTTTATCCTGTTTTACTAGATATGTCTTACAACTAGCGCTGGTTATTGAACTGTCAAACTTTATTGCAGGGTTCCTGCACATTTTTACCAATATATTTTAATAACTTTTCCATAGCTCTTCCATTACTTTATTAAAGTAGAGTAAAATGGGTCGGCCTATATAGCAACACAGCCATTTGTAACTGCTAATGCTTGCTAGCTTCACTGGCTCGTTTACGGGAATTTCATGACCACGGGAACTCTGTTATAGACCCTTTTACTGTTCGGAAACTGTATGCCGTTTGTGGTGGGCGGGGCTTAGCTGGAGGCAAAACAATTCTCCACAGACATTAGCTAGTGCTAGCTAGAGAGGCCTGCTGGCTTGTTTTAGACAATGGAGGAAGATGATGTGAGTGGTGCGTTCAGAAATACTCATTCCTAGTTTCGAAGCGCACTCTGGCACAAACTGGACTGTTCGTAAATTCGGAGCATTGTCTGAATGTAGCGTTGGGTTATCCAGAGCACCACACTCTCAGGAGGAGGACGACACTTGAACGGTTTCCCCCAGTTTGTTTGCTATGGAAGCTAACGTTAGCTAATGTGCTAAAAAGTTAGCGTTCCAGAGAAATCCAATATTCCTCTTAATCCCTCCCAAGTTTCTGATGAGGTGGACATGATAACCCTTAATACACATCACGTTATTCATCCCTACAACAGGAAATACTTTTTCCCTAACCTGATATGAAGTGTGCGCTGCACATGTGAGCATTTTTGATGATGGCCTCCGTCCAGTCCTTTGGTCTTATCACATTTAACCATAGTTGTCTTTGTTGACAGGCAGTGGCGGCTGGTTTTGAGCCATGACTCCTTCTAGATCACATTTTAAGACTCCTATGTAGCCTACAGCCCTGTGGGGGAGAGTCGTGCTTTGCCTCCAGCTAACAAACTGATGTTATTGTGACATCGGGCCTAAAAGAGTCTATAGACGTAGCCTCATTGTGTTTTCAGTTCGTGAAAATCAACTGCAACATTTTGATCACTGAAACAAGTCTTGTTCGGCATTTGGTTGCACTAAAAAAACGTCTAAGGAGTCGTATAATCAGTTTTCCAGTAAGTGAATTTTGTTTTAATGGTTTTAAGACTGTTTTTTGCTAGCTAAAAATTAGCCTTATCACAAATAACCATGGCTGTAAGCGCACTGTGCTAACCAAGCTAGCAGCTAGCATTAGGGTTATCTCCACCCTCCCGTCCAATTATAGTCACTTTTGGCTGCAGAAATCCAAGATGACGGGAGTCCACACACCAATGGTGACGTCACGGCGGCTATGTCTTTTATTTTATAGAATATAATTTAAAGCAGTAGAATTAATAATGCAATTAAGAGGTGAAACAACAGCCATCCGACACCAGCTCTTCCTGTCCATAATTTTAGTAACAACACATCAACTGTCTTGGATCGCCCCCGAGATATACATATGGTACCAAACCACAACACTTTGAGTCATAATGCACGAAGGCTTTCAGCTCTGGGTGTGATATCGTATAATGTGGCCATGCATTATAAAGGCAATTGGAGGCAACAGTTTAATACATTGCTACAAGAGAAGAGTATAAAGCCACATCATGTTCCACTGCCAACACTCCAAAGACAAAAGTGCCGAACACGTAGTAGAGATGTTTTCGTATTCAGCTACTGCCAAACAACATGCTACCATTACCCTCATAGAAACACCTGAAATGGGACAACAACCATGACGACACACAACTACCAGGACAGCTTGATTTACACAATTTCCTTACAACAGCAAAACCAGGTTGCCCCTAACGTTTTACGTCCGATTCGTCAGCTACGATATCCCATTTGTCTGTGCAGTTTTAGGTGTGAGCCTGCGTCACCCTCGTTCACTGCAGTTTTCAGGTAAGAAGGACAGGAGGCACATACGAGACACACCGCTCCTTTGACTTCAGAGACGATTAGGCATCTTCCTCGTCTCCCTCTGGATCGCATGCACACTTAAAGCTTCTCTACTTAAGCAAACTTCCACTATTGCTTTTCAAAAACTTTCACCTTTCGACAAGGATTTTGCTATAAATGCAACGCTTGCTCTGTCACCCTTCTTGCGTCATATCCATTCTCACTTTCTTCCTCCCTCTGAACATTTTCACTGTGTGTCTTGCTTTAACAAAAACCTGTGCGTGTTTCCAAGATATTCTGAGTGCTACTGGAAACAAAAAAAGACCGCCCACTGTATTGCTTACGCAGGAAGAGACGTACAATAAATAAATAAACCCTTGTTTTTAAATCAAGAAACTAGGAAGGAAAGAAAAGAAGAGAAAACTTGAGAAAGACAGAAATAAGATCCGAGAAAAGAACACCAAAGCTCATTTTTACACAATGTTGTCACTCAAACACATCATCACAAACAGAGATTAAAGAGTTAAACAGCCTAAAATGGTTCAAACAGCCTACTTGTTGTCTAGCTTTTTTGTTTGTCAGCTTGTTTATGGTAAGTGATAGTGAAGAGAGAGAAAGTGATGAAGCAGATGAGACGGACAGCTGATTACTATGATGTTACTGAAACAGAGGGTGAGTGGTTATTGGGAATGAACAGCCCTAAAGTCACGAGGGAAAGAGAAGCTATGTGTGAGTCCAGGAGGGTTTCCACGCTGCTCAGTTGACGAATGAAGTGATCGCTGCTTATTGGTTATGTGAAGGTGACATGAAGCAGGGTCGAAGTACACCACCGGGCTGTGGGGTAAAGAGGATCCAAGTGAAACCCATTGATTCCGGGTCAGCGGTTTTGGAGAAGACACAACCAAATACGTGAGAAAACCTTCCCCTTGTTTCCTTCCACATAGATTCCCAAGCTTAGTCTATACCGTCACGTCATGATGATGAGCTCAGATGTGAGAGAAGAGGCAAGATAACATGATACTAGAGCTGCAGAACTATTGGATGATTCAAAGAATTTGCAATGACAGATTTAAGATAAAAGGGGCTCTGCGGGGTTTAATGGGGACAAAAAAGGTAAAGATCCTTTTAAAGAGCTGCTGTCCTCCCCCTGGACCTCCCCCTGAAGATGCAGCGAGGAGGGGGCAGAGGGGGAGCCGACGCAGCCTGCAGAAGCCAACGGTTCGATGAGGGAGACGCTGCGAGGAGTCGGGTGTTGCTGGCGGAGGTTTTGGTGTAGAGAGTGGGAGGAACCGTGCGGGTGGGGTCTGTTGTCGTCTTGGGGGGCTGGCCAGGTGATGATGTCGGCGCCGTGGTCCGTGCGAGAGCGAGCATTCTCGCGGAAGTTGAGCTTGAAACACTCAATCTGCAGCAGAAAGGTTGAAAGAAAGGGGCAGAGAAGAGGGACGAGGGAGACAGGGAGAAAGAAAAAAATATAGACAGGAGAAGTTTGGGAGGGGCAGGAGGTGGCGTTGTGGGGGGGGGCGGGGGGGGGAGATGAGGAGGG